ACGTCGAGTATGTAGTTTAATGAGTGCGAGCACTCCACTAAAGTGAATGGGCCTTTCCATTGCAGCAAGAGCTTGTTGCAGCTGGTGGAAAGCAACAAAAGTACCTTGTCACCTACATTGAACTTGCATTCTTTTGCTTTCTTGTCCTATGTCTGTTTCTGATACTCCTTTGCTTTTGCAAGCTGCTTCCAGGCCAGCTGACGGGTGTTCTGTAGTCGTTCCCGTAGATCGATAATGTATTCGAACGTCGTCTTGGTTTCAGGGGCGCAGTCATTCCCATAGGTTCCTCAGTACCTGCAGAGGGCCTTTAACTGTGCGATTGTACAGAAACTCGAAAGGTGAGAACCCTGTGCTAGCTTGTGGCACTTCCCTGTAGGCAAACAACAAAGGGTTGATGTAGCTGGGCCATTCCCTAGGCTGCTCGATGCAGATTCTCTTCTACATTTTCTTGAGAGTACAGTTGAAATGTTACACTTAACTGTTTCCCATCGTATGATACAGAGTGGTTACAGATGCTTTCGATGTGAGCAAACGTCTGACTTGGTCCATCATCTCACTGGTTAACTGTATTCCTCGGTCGCTATGGATCCAAAATCCTACCAGAGCTTCTGCTACTGTTGTTGTCTTGATGTTCATCAGAGCAGCTGCTTCTGGGTAAAGTGTTGCGTGATTGATCATGGTCAGAATGTACTTACTGCCATTCGTTACACTTGGTATGATCGGACCGACAAGATCAATGCTGACCAGCTTGAACAGCTGATCAATGATGGGAAAGGGCTGAAGCTCTCTGGGCTTCACGCGTCCTCGATCAGTGGTGTGCTGACAGGTGTCACACTAGCACGTGTAATGCCACAATTTCCCTGCCATTCCTGGTCAGAAGAACACAACTTGTATCCGGGCCCTTGTCTTTACATGACCCATATGACTTCCCATCACTGCTTCATGCTCTAAGTGGAACACAGCCAGTCTATGCTCCCATGGAACAATGAGTTAGTCCCAAGCGTCATGGGGTGTCTCAACCTACGCACGAGTTTACCATGGTGTTTCAAGTACCAGTACTTGGGTTCATCATGTTGAAAAATGCATTCCCTCTTGTTACAAACTAGTAACAGGAATCAGCAAAATTGACATGAGAGTTCTTGAAAATTCCAACTTCAAGAACAAGAGGGCATAGATTCAAGCTAAAGAAGCAAATATGTCAAAATAAATATAGGAAAGTTATCTTTTACAAACAAAGTGATAGAGAGTTGGAACAAGGTAAGTAAGAAGGTATGTGGAGGTCATAACCATCAGCAGTTTCTAAGCATTATATGACAAAGAGTGCTGGGAAAACGGGACACCACAGGAGTAGCTGTCATCTTGTAATTAAACTTAGGTAATTACATACAAATATGCCACAATACACACAACACTCCACTTCACACAAAATGCACAATACTACTAACATTAAACATAAAAGAAAACAGCATTAAATGTTATGAAATGCCACAATCTAGGCAAGCCCCAGTTGCTACCTGAATAACTCACTAAGATGGCTCCCAACTAGGGAGCCTTCTGGGGACAAGTGCCAGAACCTGGCTCTCACAGAGGTGCAGAGAGCTGCTGACATTCTGCAACCCCACTGGGCAAGCATCCAGAAAATCTACAAACTGATACACACCACAGCTGGGTTCAAAGAGACTGAAGCCTCAAAACTGCCAAACAAACCCCCCAGCAATGTAAACAAAACGATTTAACCTCTTAGAACTAGTGGGGAATCATTACTTGTACCATCACCCTGCCAGTATAGGAGGCACACAGAACACCCAGTCCCCTCTAACTCCTTACACCAGTTCTGAAGCAGATATGCAGATGACATCCACCAACTGACAACCTGGAAGAGAGGGAGGGAATCAGGATGGGTGAACCCTGGTGGCTTCACCCAGAAAGAAGTATTTCATTACATACCATACTAGTTTTCTGAGAGAAGCTCCTTCTGGCTCCCTAAAGCTAACTCCCCATAGAGAAAAAAGGAGAAGTACTCACTGTGGAGGAGAAACCACAAGCAATTAGGACGAAGACTAGATACCAGGATGAGGGACACGAACCAAGGCAACACTTGCATGATGAGTCCCGGGAATGTTAACTAAATACCAGACCACCAGAACCCTGTCAGACCACAAAATTCCCATGCCCAAGTATAAGACCAGAACATGTTAGCAAAAACTGCCATAAAAGCAGCATATTTCTGAACCTCATGCACATGAATATAACATACACTAGGGCCAAACACACAACAATCACACTTCTGGAGAAGAGCATGCAGCTTCATAAATCTACTGTCTAAAAACAAGAGCCAACAGGAAAATAGCCTTAGAAAAGGAATCCCGGACTGAAGGAGACACCATAAACCATGGAGAAGAAAGAAAGGCAAGGGTGCGGTCCTAGGACCTGGCAGAATAAGGATCACACTCTATGAGTATGCTCACTTAGCCTTACCCCCAGCCTGCTCACAATCATGAGCAGGCAGGGGGTGATACAGTGTACGGGAGAACTTCTGAAGTATCAATGCTGAACGCAAGCAGCAAAGGCTCTACAAGAGCCAAAAACATAAGATGTGACCGTATTTATCATGAGATGCAAATTAAAATACAACCATGAGAGGAACAAAAGCACCACATGAATGGAGACTGAAGAGAAATGATGAAAGGAAAGGAAGTAGCAAAAACCAGCGTTGAATGTAATGAAACACCATTTTTTTGGGAGACTCCCGGAGGCTCCCTGGCAACCCTCCCTCCCTTCCTCTGGGTGGCATTATTTTAATGTTTTTTTACATTTAGCCTCTAAACTTAGGTTGGATAGCCAGCATGCGGGGTCTGGGGCTTACCCTTCCCCCTCCAAGGGAGGGGGGGGCGGGGAGGAGCTGCACAGACAGCGGCACGGTGGTAGTTATGATGTCATGCTTGCATTTATGACATGCGTCATGCTAAAACGTGGGTTTTATGTGGAGAGTCCCTCCGGCTCACCCAGAGCTACCTAACCAAAGAAATGTAAAAGAGGGACTTACCCCGGGAGGCGGCCGCCACTTGTGCCTCAACTCGAAGTCAAGACAACTGGCCGCAACCTGTGACCCAAAGCGACACACGCCTGACTAGGGCCAGGAACATTAACGAGATAATGGGCAGCCAGGACCCTGTTCAACCCCCAAAATCCCCACACACGAATGTCAGCCCAAGACATGTTACCAAAAACGGCAACCAAAGTAGCAAACTTGCAAAAGTTTGGGCACGAGGATAAACCTGGGAGGATGTTTACAAAAACATGGGCACAAGGATAGACCTAGGAGACCCGAACCCTGGAACAGGGAAGAAGAGAAACCGGATCTACCCAGAGCGCGTCCCCGGCCACCGAGGCTTTGGCGCACAAGTAACGGCGAAGAACCAACACCGGACACAACACATGATGCACCCCCACCGAACAAACCAAGCATCAACCACCCAAGAACCCCCCTCTGGGAACAGCCGTCTCATTTTTTGCCAAAAAAGAAGGAGACGGCTGCAAACGAATAAAAAGTGATGAAAGGACTGCCAGGAGACTTCATACTGCCTCCAGTGACAGGCCGTCCGTCAGGACATTGGACACTCCCTGGATATGAACTGCCTGGAGAGCCAAACCCCGAGAACACAGCAGACAAGTCACCTGAAGCGACCAGCCCCAAAGAGCCAAGGACTGCATCAAACCCCCGTGGTTCAGACAATGAACCACCAGGGTGCGATCCGAATAAAGCCGGAGCAGCGATCCGCGAGTGACATGAACCCTCCGAAGCGACAGCCAAACCGCCGCGCCGCAAACTCCCGCACCGTGCTGTGGGCCCAACGGAAGGATGGACACCACCGAAACTAGCTGGCCTGGTGAGCACTGGTCACAAAGCCCCAGCCAAGAGATGACGCATCCGTGAACACATCGAGTGAGGGCTCGGGGAGGTGCCACGACATTGAACCCTGAAAAACCCAAAGAGGAAGCCAGTGATGCAGCAGCCGATGCAAGACCCCTGGAGGCTGAACGCAGCGATCATGAGAACGGTGGAAGGGACGACCCCGAATGAACAAGAACAACCACCGAAACCAGACCCGACCCGGCAGGTAAACAAGCACGGCGAAGTTCAGACTCCCACACAGCAGCTCGAGCAACCGACGAGTGACCCAGGAGCTCTCCAGAAACAGCTGAAGGTGGGACTGCAGCCGCAGCAACGCCTCCGGAGGGAGAGACAAGGAAGCGGTCCGAGAGTCACTCACAAGACCCAGCCAAATCCGAACCTGAGAGGGAACCAAATGGGACTGGTGGTTATGACGTCATGCTTGTTTGCTTGTTTACGGATTTGCGAGTTCTGCTTGACAGTTCGGCTTTCGGTAGCAATTTTTTTTAACCTGGTGGAGTTTATTTTGGGATGCGTATCTTTCTGGGTGCCTAACCCAGTCAATTAAGAGACATGGAATGCTTCCAACCACATGGGGGGTTTCCATAGGCCATTTCTCCTTGTGCCTCTCCGAGGAAGCTAGGTTCTGGCTCGTGGTCCCCGGTAGGAAAGAACTCCATCGAAATTGACTGATGCCATGGTCTAATAAATACATATCAGCCTGGGGAGCCGAAGGGGCTCTTTGTTCATACCTAGTTAAACACAAGACAAAGTTAGAGAAGATTCAGAGGCATGTCACCAGACAAGTCCCGGAACTGAGAGGTATTAGCTACGAGGAAAGGCTAAGAGAGCTGATCACTGGAAAACAGTAGGATAAGGGAAGACATGATAACCACCTACAAAATTCTCAGAGAAATTGACAGGATGGACAAAGACAAACTCTTTAGTACGGGTGAAACACGAACAAGGGGGGACAGGTGGAAACATAGTATTGTACCCAAATGAGCCACAGACACATTAGAAAGAATTTTTTCAGTGCCCGAGTAGTTAACAAATGGAATACATTAAGTAGTGATGTGGTGGGGGCTGACGACATACACAGTTTCAAATGTAGATATGATAGAGCCCCAGTAGGCTTAGGAACCTGTAGACCAGTTGATTGACAGTTGAGAGGCGGGACCAAAGAGCCAGAGCTCAACCCCTGCACGCACAACTAGGTGAGTACAAAAAGAGTACCAAGAAACCTCATACTGCTGCCAGGAAGACAACACGAAGAAAAAACTGCAGACAAACATCCAGTTTCAGACACAAAGTAAGCAGCACCTGAAACTAAGACTGAGCCAGTCTCCAAGGAGCAAGAAGGACCACCTACCCATGGTAGGACTCCAACCTGGCCAGGACCTAGAGCAACAGCTGGATTGGGGGAAGGAAGTACAGAAACCTCCACTGTGACTAGTCCAGCTGAAAAGCATCGATGGTGCGAGCCTCGCAGTCAGGGAACAGAGCCACAAAGAGAGGAAGGTGCCGGGATGATGTTCATGCATCCATGTCAGGATGCACGAAAATCTCATAAAGCCATTGGAAGGAGGAAGCATCAACAGTCCACTCTATGGAGATGGGACGAAAACGAGACAGACTATCCACAAGAGAGTTAGACACTTCCCAAAAGTGAACAGTGCAGAGAACCAACCCCTGGGAGCCCAGTTGACTAGCTACCTGAAGTGTCCTGCTCTACAGAGCAACAGACCGGAGGGAGCCCCCCACCCAGTTCAGACAATGAACCACTGGGGAATAGTCCAAATGAAACTGGAGGAATCTGAAACCATCCCATGGCATGCCACATGGCTGCAAACTCCCACACTGTACTGTGCACCCGACGGAATGAACTTGACCAACGACCCTAGGCAGCCTGGAGAAAGCTAGTCATGAAGCCCCAACTCAAAGGCAACGCTTATGTAAAAACGCTGAGATGGTGGAGAAAGGCGTCAAGGAACCAAACCCCCGAAAAGCCCAAAAATGCACCCTGCAACACAGCAACTGACAAAGGGCAATTGAAGTCTAACAACAGTCATGGCAGCGGAGAAACTAGAACAGCCCCTGAAATCACACTCTTGGTGGAATGAAAGTGGAATTCACCAACATCTTCAATTTTGGGTCCCTAAAAACAAGATGAACCAGCTTTGGGGCACCCAACTGGGCACACAACTTACTCCACTGAAGGTAGGTGAAACAAACTCACAAAGTGGTAGCTGCCTGATACACTCATGCATCATCAGGAGGGTCATGGACAAAGAGCCACATGGGGAGAGTAAACCACAGAGGACTCAAGGTCATTGGTGTCACCGACCCAATAGCCAACACATCAGAGGTAGAATGAATGATCATTGCCTTGTGGTACAGAGACAGCCCTCAAACTCACACAATGTCAGTGAGTTTGGAGGGGATATCCAGAGGCAACACCAAAACCATCAAGGAATTCGCAGAGCCTGAAGAACAAACCAAGGAGAACACCCAGGCATTGGAGCTGCTTGTTGGATATTTGTAAAGTTGGTCAACACAGCCAAGTTAATGCGGCTGTGAGGGGTGACCTCGGTATGCCATGTGAATAAGCACATGAATCACCAGTGCAATCAAACCAGCCAACACTCACCCCAACCAGGGGCCTGGACAGAGCAGAAAAGACCACAGACAGCCTTTGTGAGGCCACCACCCCAGTGGTCCAGCCTCTAAAAGGGCAAACTCCCAACACACTGGAGAAGATAACTCTGTCAATGCAGAAGCAGTGCCAGGGAGCACACAGGGAAGGTAACATTGAGCACATGCAGCTGCAAGCATTGAAAGAGCCAGATCCACACAACACAAACTAGATGAAAAACACACTCACCCACCTCAATTAAAAGAAGGAACAATACCAAGCAAATGACCCCAACAGGACAAAGTCCAAGGATGGCCAACACTTAGCTAAGAAGCAGCAGGACCTGCAGAGCATACTGACAACTTTGGGAACCGAGCTCAGGGACCTCAACTTAGGGACCTACCTTAGTTCCCAAGCTGAGGGGTATGAGCTGTGAGGAAAGATTACTGGAACTAAACTTCATGACACTGGAAGACAGAAGAGTTAGGGGAGACATGATCCCTACCTATAAAATTCTCAAGAGGAATCAAGAGGGTAGATAAAGACAAACTGTTTAGCACAGGTGGTATGCAAACAAGAAAACACAGATGGGAACTTCATACCTAAATGAGCCATAGGGATATTAGAAAGAACCTTTTCAGTGTCCGAATAGTTAACAGATAGAATGCATTAGGAAGTGATGTGGTGGAGGCAGATTCCATACACAGTTTCAAATGTGGATATGATAGAGCTGAATAGGCTCAGGAATCTGTACACCAGTTGATTGACAGTTGAGAGGCGGGACCAAAGAGTCAAAACTAAACCCCCCGAAAGCACAACTTGGCGAGTACCTAGTAGCTCTACAGTGGACCTCCACACATGTTAACACTGTAAAAACTATAAAATTTATGTAAGGGGCTTTAGCAAACTGGGAATTCTGGCTCCAACTGGCAGGGGTGACTAGTACTAACCAAACACAGAGATCACACTAGTTCCAAGAGATGCAATCATTTGTTTACATTGTCAGTAGAGTTCATTTGGCAGTTTTGAGACTTCTGGATGTTTTCCCGGTGAGGTGAAGTGTCACCTTCTGTGAGGAGTGGTCAGGTTCTGGCTCTGGTGCCCGGCAGGTCAAACAGAACTACACGGTTGATGTGACCTAGAAGTTGGAAGCCATCTAAACGAGATATTTTCAAGGAGCCACAAAAGGCTGCCCCCAGAAATACATAATCTTTCTTCATGTCTTTTTTTTTATCTAATACATTAAAAATATGTAAGCACCAAATATGCTTCACTTGGGAATGGGGGGAAAATGACAGTATTGGTAACAGCTTCACTTAAGTAACTATGCAGTGCACGTTTATCCTCAATGTGCATTTACAAACAATTCTTCATTCATATCAAAGTTTGCAAGTGGCACCTCATCCTTAATCGTTTGCAAGCCATTTTCTTGTTGTCGATTGCTTCTCTAAAAAAAAAATATATATATATTTATATTAATTTTAATTTTTGAATGACAAACATTAACAGTAATATATGTATAAATATATAGATATATCTATAAACCTAGCACTGAATGTAATAAAGCACCTCTTTCTGGTAGAGCCCCTGTGCCCCTGAAGCTATCTTGCTGTGATTGCTCCATACTAAGCAGTCACATCAGTCATGGAAGTTTAGTTTGATCTACCGGGGACCAGAGGCCGAACCTGGGTCCCACACAGAGGTGACTGAGCGAGGAACAATTTGCCACCCAACCAGGAAAGCATCCAGAAAGTCAGCAAAATTTTACAATCAGAGGGTTCACATAAAATGATGCTATGAACCAGCTAAACAACTTTACAAACAATTCACATAGAAGATGGGATTTACTCGAACTGGCACAAAACTTATTGGTACCGATCTCCACCAGGCAGCCTGGCCCCAGCCAGCTTCTCTAACCAGCCAGTACCCGGAGATGATGAACAGCCCACCAATGAAGAGGTAAACCTGGAAGGGAGGGAGGGAGGGAGGGAAGGGCCGAATAAGGAAGCCACTACCAGAAAATGGGCTCTACCAGAAAACGCATTTAATTACATTCAATGCTGGGTATCTAGTATTGGTTAGATACCCAGCTAGATACCCCAGTGACTCCCTTAAACTAATCACGGGGAACAAAAACAGGACTTACCAGGGAGGAGAAGTGGCTGGCACAAGCACAAAGAAGTGAAACTGAACTGGGAAACATGGCCCAAACGAATCGTGGAAGGTTGCTAATGTGGTACCAATTTTCAAGAAAGGAGATAGATCACTTGCATCAAACTATAGGCCAATTAGCTTAATGTCAATTGTGGGAAAGTTATTGAATCGATAATTGCAAATGCCTTTCGTCTTCATCTTGAAAATCATAAATTAATAAATGATTCACAACATGGTTTTACAAATGGGCATTCATGTTTAACAAATTTGTTATTATTTTACTCCAGCATAGTTGAGGCAGTTGATAGTGGTAAGGTTTGTGATGTTGTGTACCTTGACTTTAGCAAAGCTTTTGATACAGTGCCACATGAAAGCCTGATTAAAAAGATAGAGGCTTATGGTATTGGGGGTGCTATATTAGGTTGGATTAGGGCATGGCTACACCAAAGGAAACAAAGAGTTAGTATAAATGGGGTTAAGTCAGAGTGGGGAAAATGTTGTAAGTGGAGTGCCTCAAGGCTCTGTCCTGGGACCTCTGTTATTCATAATATATACAAATGATTTAGATTCAGGTTTGAGCAGTAATATTTGCAAATTTGCCGATGATACTAAAATCGGGAGGAAAATAAACACAGAAAAAGATTCACTATCACTTCAAGAAACTCTAGATAGGGTTTTGAAATTGTCAAAAGATTGGCAGATGCAGTTTAACCCCTTCACTGCGCACCTGTTTTTGGCAAAAACTAATTGATAAGGACATATTTTTGTTGTTTTTATAAATGTTCAGGTAAAGTTAATGTCAAAATGTTTCCAAACTCAACCATTTTCATTTCAAAATACGAAGAGGGATGAAAACATTAAAAACATTAAAATATAGCCTAATTACAAAAAAAAAGTACAACTCTCAGAACGAGATTTCTCAGTTGGCGCAGCACAATGGTTAATGCTGACAATTGTAAGGTTTTGAGACTAGGTAATGATGATAAGTTACAAGATACGAGCTAGATGGTGTTGAGATGGCAAAGTCGGATTGCGAAAGGGATCTGGGAATTATGATTAGTAAGAATTTAAAACCAAAAAATCAATGCATAAATGTTCGTAATAAGGCAAATAGGACACTGAGATTTATTAATCAAAGCATTACTAATAATACACCTGGTGGTGTTCTTCAACTATGCAGTTCAGTTTTGGTCGCCGTACTATAGAATGGATATAAATTCGCTGGAGCGCGTTCAGCATAGGATGACAAAGTTAATCCCCCAAATTACAAACCTGTAATATGAAGAAAAATTGACACAGCTTAAATTACATTCCCTAATTGAATGCCTGAGGACCGCTCCAAGCAACAGCCTGGTGAATCAAACTCTCACACGTCAAGCCTGGCCTCGGGTCGGGCTTGGGGATTAGAAGAACTCCCAGAACCCCTTCAAGCAGGAATCGAGCAGGTAAACATGATGCACCCCCGGTCTTACCAATCAAGCATCAACAAGCCACGGGCCCCCCCGAAAAGCAGCAGTCTCATTCTTCGCCAGAAAAGAAGGAGATGGCTATAGCCGAACAAAACGATCACCTAACCCAAAAGAGCAGAAAGCTCTGCACTGGAGGAGAGCATGAAGCTACCCAACCCAATCCACAGAGGCCAATGCCTCTGAAGAAGCAGACTGAAGAAGTCAAGGAAGAACCGCAGATTCAACAGACCCATGTCTGCATAGAGCAGACGGGAACCCCAGAAGGATGGGGCGGATCGACCATGTCCAACGCATCCACTATGATGACATAACGAAGCGCAGGGGAAGAAGCCCACCCCGCCAGCCCTGAACCCCCCCAAAGGGGAAGAAGCCGTCCATCGTCGCCACCAGAGGCCGGAAGACAACCAAAAGTGCCCCACTAACTGCGGGACCATGCGAGAGTCAACAGAGCAAGCTGCCCCCCCAGCGCCCCGTCAACAGAGAAGGGAACAGAGCCCCTTCTGAAAGAAAAAGTATACATACACATATATACATATTATGTATATACACATACATGTACACATACACACAAGGTAAGTTACACACACATGCATATGCAAATACACATGTACATGCACATGTGTACACACACACATACACGTGAAAAGAAAATTACAAGCTGCCGACCAGTGGGCAGAGAGTACCACGCCGGCCAGGCGAAGAAAGCACAAAACTGCATCAAAAGGCCCACCTCGACAAGAAACCTCAAAGTCCCAGCACGACCACAAAACGTGCCAAGACCCAAAAAGATCAGTCTGCAAGCCAGGAAGACCCTGGAACTCCAGAAGGCAGAACCGGGTCACACACAAGGAAACAAAGCCCCCTGAACCCACAAAGGGGGCCCAAGAGGAAGAAACCTCCGGAACGAAACCAAACAACCCAAAGAAATCCGGAATCGAACCAGGGAAAGCCCAAACAACCACATTTGCCGGCGGAGATACACCACTGAAGGCAAAGCACAGCCCCAGACAGAACCCCTAGGGAAACGGTCAGACCAGACCAAAAACCGAGAGACAAGGTGTGGGAGCAAGCATAACAGCCAGGGACACTGAGCCCAAACCCAAGGGCCTAGACCCATAACAGACAAAATGAAAAACCTGGTGTAAAATCAACACTCAAACGTTCCCAAAAGAACAGGAAACTGGCAGAAAGCACCAGAAAAGCAAAGAAACGACAACAAGAGAATAAAACCTGGTGAAAAACTCACCCAAGACGCTCGCTCACACACCCAGGTGCATGTAAACAAACCGCAACGCCGCCCTGGTTGCCACGCCGGGAAACCGGCAGAAGAAAATGGCCACCAGAACAGAGGGCTGTGACCGACGCAAAAGATACGAAAACACACCAGCAAAAGTGGGAAGCAAACAGGCTGGATGGGCAAAAAACTCCGCCCAAAAGCAGAAAACCCAGGCAGGGGCAAACCGCCCCAGAACTGCTAGCAGAACATCTCCCACAGCCCCGGGAACCCGCATCAGAGGCCCCGGGGCAGAGCCGTCCTCTAAGCCCTCCGCCCTTAAAGAAAAGGAAGAGTCCATGGGAAAGGCAGCAAGAAAGGGCCGCTGGTAAGACCCAGAAGCCTTGGCAGGAGGAACAGGCTCGAAAACCTCCATCCCCAACCCAAACGGGGCAGCCCCCGAAAACCGCCCGAGTCTCGGCCCCAACTAAACCCCGCCCCGACCCCAAAACCTGTAGTTTTGGAGTCGGGAACAGGGAGGGAAAGGGGCGAACAGCACCTAACCAAAACGGGGTGGCCTCGGGGCATCCGAGTGGGAAACCAACCTAGTGTGTTGCAGCAACCTAACCTAGCTTGCAACACGGATGCCGCCTGTACTCTGAACAGTAATAACACCAGGAGAGTACTGGAGAACAAGCAGAGAATCTCTCTCGCAAGGCTCCGGGTCAAGGTGTGAGTGACCCAACAGGCAACATAACAGAGGTAAAAGTGGCAACTGTCACCCAGAGACATGGGCACAGCAACCAACGATCCCGTACAAGACAGGTTGGAACCTGGAAGACACATTCAATGGTTCACCGAGCCCAGACAGGGGTTTCCGGGGCCCGTAGGCTGACTGCTACGGGAAGCCCAGGTAAGGTATTGCTAACCGGTTAAGAAACCCAAAAACAACAAGAGGGTAGAGAACAACACAGAAAACCCCTGCGACATGTACAATCACGAAGGCCTAGCAGAGGGCCACTAAACACTACCAGTGGAACTATAGCCACACTAGGCAGACCCCCACCAGGCAATTGAAAATAAAAAGAAAAGAAAAACCCCGCAAAAGTACATCGTCTCCAGAGGCAACAGGAACCGGTCGCTGCTTAGGTGGCAGGTTGCGCAACACCTTGACGCCCTAACCAGCACAATACCAGTCCCTACCCAGGGCCAAACAAGGGCCCCAAGCCCCAGCTGACCCCAAGGGCGAGGCAAATGCCGAGCAGCAAGAACCTCTACGGGAATGGTTCCCGAATGCCCCAGGGAAGATAACCCTGTCACGCAGGGGCAGTACTCACAGGACGCTTAGGGAAGGAAGCCCCTAAGAGTATGCAGCCCCGGCACTGATGAGGTACTCCTGGCCACTGCACAACACAACACACGGCAGTGAACGCCACACAAGGCAAACACCGCCTAGGAAACTGAGGCCAGAGAAGCATCTATCCCAGTTGACATTAGCTTACAAACTGATGCTAGGCAGCCGGCGCGGTAGGTCCGGGGCTTCCCCCTCCCCCTCCCCCTCTGGGGACGGGGAGGGCTGCGCGGACAATCGACGCGGCAGTAAAGTGTGATGTTTGCTTGTTTGTTTGTTTCCTTGGGATTGTAGGGAGTTTCTACCTCTCTGTTCGTTTTTTATTTGTTTTTTACCATGTGGGGTTTGTTTTGTTATGCCTACCTTTCTGGGTGCCTAACCCCGGTTGATGGCAGATAAGGAAAACCCCAACCACAATGGGGTTTTCCAGGACCATTGCTCCCTGAAACCTCTCTGAAGGGGCCAGGTTCTGGCGCTAGTCCCTGGTAGGTCTGAACTCCTTAGCTAATGTCCCGGTCTAATATAACATACATTAGCCCGATAAGCTCCAGGGAGCCGTAGGGGCTCCCCACAGAAAATCTCCCTTTCTATTTACGCTGCAGTACTGAAACTTGGAACAATTGCAGCCCTTTTCATATACAACTAGTCAAAAAATATTGGTTGACATTGAACAACTTTTCCAAAACCATTCGAATGCCCCCTTAAGGGTTAATATCCGCTTGTAGTTTTTTAATGTCTTCAGCAGAGATAATTTTCATGCTGATTTTTGTGTCATCTGCAAAGGATGATACAAAGCTGTGACTTGTATTTTTGTCTATGTCTGAAATGAGAATAAGGAAAAGCAGTGGTACAAGTGGTACAGTACCTCTGTACCTGAGGTACAGAGCTTTTAACTGTGCTTGGACTCGATTTTATATGGTTGACTGTTACTATTTGTGTTCTACAAAGGACAAGGTCACTAGGCACAAAATTGGTGCCCATTATAAAATAAAGACAACAAGCAAAGAACTACAGTCTTTGAACACAAGACTGAGGTAAGAATATAGAGAAATACCACAGTCTCGTACACAAGACAACACAGCCCTGGAAACACAAGACCGGGAAACATGACCACCACCAACAGTTCCCCAGGGGAATGGACAGGGTTGAAAAAGATGGAAGAATCAATACGATTGTTACCCCCATAATGGGACACAGGTGGAAACTGAATACCCAAAGGAACCACAGACATGAAAAAGAACTTGTCCAGAGGCAGAGTAATAAGGAAAGTGAATGCAGGAGGAAGTGATGAGGTGGAGGTTGCAAACATAGAAATACCAGAACTCAAGCTCATAAATGTGCGCACCAGTAGAATGATGGCTGAGAGGTAGGCCTAAAAGAGTTGAAGTGCAACCCCAGAAAGCACAACTAGAAGAGTACAAACTTAACAAAACTACAGACGATATCATGGTCCCTAAAACCCAAGTGGAGCAGCTCCGGGCCTCTAATTGGGCAACCAACCTGGCTCGTTGCAGTAGAGAGAATTGAGCATGCAACGCAGCCACTGCCTCATCCTTGAGATCAATAGACAAGGAATGAGTAAAGTGAAGTACAAGCCGGGAACAAGGCCCGCAAGACTCCTGGTCGGTGGTGTCCCTGACCCAACAGGCAGCATGATGGAGGAAGTACGGATGATCGTTTCCCTGAGGCAGGGGTAATGAATAACCTACGACTTCGCACAAGGTGAGAGCGTGCTCGGAAGAAGTAGCCAGTGTATGACCGAGACCATAGGGGTTTTCCAGGGTCCGTAGGGCGAATGAGCCCTACGGGAAGCCCTGGCACTGGGTCGAGCTAAGCTGGTAGAACTCTATCAGGTAGCAGGTAAACTGACAACCAGTAGCAACTATGAAACCTCAGGGGCAACAGAGGACTACCAACACAACCTAGGCTTGCCTAATAAGAAGCTAAGCAGATCTCCTCTGTCTAAAGAAGGCGAGAACCCAGTGAATGAAAAGAAAATGAAAATAAAGCCCCTTGAAGACACAACAAACAAACAAACAAACTGGCAGTCAGAGAAAAACATTGGCTACTGCAATGTTTCGATGAAGCTAGCTGAGCCAGCCTCAGAGCGCCCCACCCACCCAATAACACTCCCCCTACCCGGGGCAAGACAGAAAGCCCTAGACCCCCTACGTACCCCAAGGGCAAAGACAAGTGATGAAGTCCCCAAACAGGGAGTGATTCCCGAACGCCCTAGGGAAGATAATCCTGACACGCAAGGGCAGTATTCACGGAGCACCTAGGGAAGGTCACCCTAGGCACATGCTGCACCTGTACACTAAGGCTCCAGGGTACAGAGCACTTGTTCAGTATCCACTCAATTTAATTAATGACCTGTATGGGTCATTGATTAAATGTCAAAAATGGTTCTCCCAGCTGTAATTTGTCTTGGAGGGATCAGTGACAGATTCGCCTCTAGGAGTTGGACCCGGTTTGCCAGATCCATGATTTTCAAAAGTTCTTCTTGCTTTCTTTGCCACTATTACTGTGGCCTCATTTCTGTGAACTACATGCGCTGAGTGCATGTAAACCCCGAAAAGTTGCAGTTTCAGTTCCGTCTTGTAAGTCATTGTGGCAGATTTAGCCATAGCCTATTCTGCCCACCAAGTTCTTCGACAATGCCTCAACGGCTCGGATGTTCAGGAGAATCTTGTATGTAGTAAGGTTTGCCAGCAGCTGTGTATGTGACACAGCTTGCCATTAGGAGGTGGGGGACACGTCTGGCCTTGGCGGCTGCTCTTAGCAATTGCGGCATGTTATGTAATCAACCATACGCACTCCTGTTCACCTAACAGCAAATAAATCCCCGATTCCCTTCCAAACCTCCGACCCTTACAGCAGCCACAAACTGTTGCATTTCTTAGGGGAGGAAAGAGGCTGGCTTCCTTCCACAGGGAGCCAGCCTCTTAGGGACAGTTGGACGAATCTACCAGTGAAGGTAACCCTGTCAGGGCCGGAGCATCACCAGCAAGCATCTAAGAAAGATAGCCCTAGACTCATGCTGCCAGTTACTTCCACACAACAAGTGAGGATATAAATAATTGCTAGTGAAGCAATAATTGCTAGTGAAGCAAATACTGAAGATTGGAAAAAATACACAAGCACATGGGCCTCCACAGAACAAAGTCCAAAGGATGGTCAACACTCATCTGGAAATATGATTCTGGGAGCCAAGGGGTTTGGAGAGACTCTAGGAGAAGTCATTTGTATCTAACACCAGGCGATTGACTGAAAGGGTGCACTGAAATAAAGCAAGTAGTTCTCTTGTGCTGCCACTTGTGGGAGAACAACCTGTGTGGATCATTCTCCAATTTGTCTTACTGTACCTTTCAGGAGGTAGTTTCCAGATGATACAGTGATGCGCAGTGATCTAGTTCAGTGATACCCCATTCCTTGTGTCTCTTTGCAAGTCAGTTTATGGCCTCAGGTCTTAGGTAGGGTTATACTGACTCATGAGGGCCTGGTGTTACTTAGCAGGCATGGAGACATCCAGAGTGGTTAGTAACAGGGAGCTATTAAGTGGCTTCTCCAAAAATAACAATAAATAATTATATCTTAAATGTAAGAAGTACAGATGGATTAGTAAGGACAGCAAAGTACACGGAAGAGTAATAGCTGTAAAGTATACAGAAAATAACCCAAAGCAAGTTGTTCTGAGAGTAACAGTGACTTCAGAGTTGCTTGTGAAAGAAGATGTAACCTTACAAGTGTCTAGTAGAGCAGCAACAATATTAGTGATAATACTTAGTATTGTTCATATGTTACCTTGTGCCTAGATCCATCAGGCTTGTTTGGCGCATGTTTTAGTGTCTCCGCAATTTGGTACTGAACATCAGTCTCCTTGATCTTTTGAGGGTGTGTATTTAAACAGGATTCTGCAAAGTTCAAATTTAACTGTATTAATGCAGATGATATAATAATCCATTTTAGAATATACATGCAACAATCTCATTAACTGCAGCAGCATATTAGGACCTCTTATTTTTTTATAGTATTGCATTATTGAGGACTGATTATTTAACCCTTCAAATGAGCATATCAAGCAGAAACAATTATGCCATAAATTGCCAACCTGGAGAATGCAAAGAGAACTTTTACTGCAGAATCCATTCAATAAACATCTAAGTTACTAAGACCACCTCTCAATCAGTAATTTTAGGAGTGCAGGCAAGAGATATACTAGATAATTTATGCTTAGAAAATATTAAGAACTAGGTCCAAATATGTACACAAAAATAATTCCTTGGGAGACCAGGAGGCATTCCAGAAATTGTACTGTTGATTGTACCATTAAAATTGAAAGGCAGATGTGCAATGGTTATGTCAAGAGACAGCCCTATCAAAATTCCAGACAATTTTTGGTTACTTACTTAAAATGACAGTATAAAGGTCCAGATATTTTAGAAAAGGGATTTTATGTTTTCTTCCCTTCAGACTGTAGAGCGACCATAGGCTGTTTGTTCCTATTTTATTCATTATTCTTCGGACTGTGCCACCACAGTCTGAGCCACCCAGCTTTGACAGACCTTCCACCTGTTAAACAATACAGGTGGACAATATAAGAATACAAAAATACAGAATACATTGGAGAAAATTTAATATATATATATACAGTATAAATATAATAAATATAAAAGAAATATAAAAGAGTTTCCTCACAAGTTTATTAAATTTCCTTATAAAGTACAGTACACGTACATACAAATTCTTGACAATCATTTTTTATGTATTGACAATTGATCATTTAATTTACATAGAATGGATATTTTATAACTTGACCCAAAACTAACCTAGCAAACTGACATAACAAATATGCCAATTATGCCATACCTCTGTCTCACTTAACCCTTGGCATGTGGCTATCATCAAAGGCGCCACTTTGCTTATGCACAAAAACAAAGTAAATTAAAAAATATAAACAATTTCTTATAACTAAACTTGCATTAACCCTTAAACTGCATAAATTGTGTATACAGTGGAACCTCGAGTGACGAGCACCTCAATCTACAAGCATTTCAAATAACGAGTGCGTCACTCAGCGAAAATTTGTCTCGATTGACGAGCATTCGCTTGTCACCCGCCCTACCCTCGAGTAGCAATGTGTGCCTGTTCCAGCTGTTTTACCTCGGGTATTTTTTGTTACTGCTTTTATAAATATGAATCAACACAAAAACGAGTGATATAGTGTAATAAATAATGTCCTGTATGGAATAATGACGAAAAGCCTGTTTTTTCACATAACGATGTACTTTATCTTATTTTATTGGTAATTTTGTTCTTCTATTTACCTCATATGCATACATCCTTGAGATCATTCTATTGCAAACAATTAGATACCAAAATGAACGACGTAGCACAAAAATTGAGGCGAGAAAGTATAAACATTGAAAGTAAAACAAAGTATAAACATTGAAGTGTGGTTGTCCGCTCACGGGCAACGCGCAGCCAACCTTGACGTGCGCTGCAGGTGGCCAAAGTGTTAATTATCACCACAGGGAATGCATGGTGTTTCAGAATTTTCAGAAGCTTTTCTGTATAAATTTTGTATAAAGTAACAAAGAAAATGTTACTTAGAATACAGTATTAACATATTATATTAATATTTTGGCATGCATCGTTAAACTTGAAAGTAACACTTGCCATTTTTGCTCTAAAACTTAAATCAAGTTTTAGTCTAGTGTTCAGATCAGCAAGGTCTGATTCTTGTGTTATAGGCTGAGGTAGAAGATCTTGAATAATTATGGGTTCACCATTTTCATGGACACCATTTGCCTGGGATGCTTTGGCTGTAATGGCCCACAATGCTTTCATTATTTCATCTTGTTGCATCATCACAGCATCCACCTTGCTACCTAAAAAAATTAATAAATAATTATATTTAAAAAGGGTACACATGTGATGATATTTTATACTTGATGAGCATAAGAAAAATAATTAAGCTTAGCAGTTAGGCAAGTCTTAAGGTAATGTTGGGTGTCCTGCTGTGTGTTTACACAGGTGGTATTGGTAACACTACCTGTAGGTGGTGTTGGTAACACTACCTGTAGCTGGTGTTGTACAGTATTTACCAATACTGTATAAACATATAAAGGACAAAAACCACATACAGTAATGACTTGATGTCCACTACAATCACCTACAAAATACCAAACAGCCTAACACAAATATAACTAGGCTTAACTTTGTATTTAATATTTTTAATAAAATAAAACTCCAACTTCCTTTATCATTATGTGCCAGCATTCTTTCAGTGATTCTAACACATTGAACATACACATGCAGGCAGTCAATACATTGGATCATGTTTTTTATATTTATAAAACCAGCATTGAATGTAATGAAATGCCAGTTTCTGGGTGAGCCCCAGAGGCTCCCTGAAGCTATTACAATGATTAACCCTTAAACGACACAAATCACATACTGTATACAGTATATGCCAGCGCATAACTCAACTGAAAAAATTTTGAGGTGCACTGTACACACTCGCTAATCCGGAATCCAACCATCCGGAAAACGCCCTAATCCCGCCAAAATCGTGGCCGGATAAAGTTATCTCACCATCCGACCAAAATATCCATGGAAGCCGAACACGCGGGCGTTTGGCCGGATCAGCAGCCTAACACTCATTGTACACCACCACCAGGAAGGGAGTCACCCCTCACTGGTGCTCACTTCCTCTGTCCTGCCCACATTCACTGCCTCCCTCCCTCCCTCCCTCCCTCCCCAAGAGATCCTTCTGAAGATGGCAGTAGATTGCCAGCCTGGAGAATTTCCATCTAATACAATAAGGCATTCATGAAACAAGTATTTTTATAACTTTTTATTATCCTAATAATATTGCTAAACAAAATCTGTAACCAAAAAACCAGCGTTGAATGTAATGAAACGCCATTTTCTGGGTGAGCCCCGGAGGCTACCTGGAGCTTAACGGAATAATGTATGTTATATTAGACCGGGACATTAGCTAAGGAGTTCAGACATACCAGGGACCAGCGCCAGAACCTGGCCCCTTCAGAGAGGTTTCAGGGAGCAATGGCCCTGGAAAACCCCCTTGTGGTTGGGGTTTTCCTTATCTGCCATCAACCGGGGTCAGGCACCCAGAAAGGTAGGCATAACAAAACAAACCCCACATGGTAAAAAACTAAAACAAAATACTGAACAGAGAGGTAGAAACTCCCTACAATCCCAAGGAAACAAGCAAACAAGCAAGCATCACACTTTACTGCCATGCCGATCGTCCACGCAGCCCTCCCCACCCCTGAGAGGGGGAGGGGGAAGCCCCGGACCTACCACGCTGGCTGCCTAGCATCAGTTCGGAAGCTAAGCTTCAACCAATGCGAAAAAACCGCCGACCGGTGGGAGGGAGGGTTCCCAGGGAACCTCCGGGGCTCACCCAGAAAATGGCGTTTCATTACATTCATCGCTGGTTTTCTGTGGGGAGCCCCTACGGCTTCATACCCAAAGAGAAGGAAAATAAAGGGCTGACCCGGGAGGTGGCCGCCACAAACTCTGCAACGTGAAGCCGAGACAACAGGCTGCAACCTGTGACCCAAGGCAACACAAGAACACACAGGAGCAGACACGCACACAAAGAACGGGCGGCAAGGAACCCGTGCGACCCCCAAATCCTCGCACCCAAAATGAGCCCTAGAAGTCACCAACACGACAGCGAAAGCTGCAAACGTCTGAACAGCACGCAAGGATAGACCGCAGGTTGGTAGACTTAAAAACTCTGCGGACGACCTGGAAGACCCGAGCCCTGAAACAGGGAATGAGGGGAACCTGATCAACCCAAAGTGCATCCCCAGTCACGGTACGCAGGTAACGGCAAAGAGCCGCAACCAGACAACACACAACGCGCCCCCGGCTGAACCAACCAAGCATCAATAACCCTAGGACCCCTCAGGAAAGCAGCCCTCTCGACCGTTGCCTACCTTTAGATGGTGGCCAAGATAGTACACTTTAAATGTAATGTGTTCATAGGCCATCATTCCCTGAGCCCAGGGAGAGGTAGAGGGGCCCAGGTTCTGCCGCAAGGTCCCCTGTAGGCCAATAGAACTCCACGACTAATGACATACAGTACTATGGCACTTAATACGAGTAATAGCTTCAGGGAGCCTACAGGGCTTCCCTCAGAAATTTAGAAGTTTAATTTTATATCAAAACTTACTTATTTTCTGCAATAATGTCATTACATTTTCTTCTTTCCTCTCTGGTGGCTCTGAGATGAACAAACTCCTAGGCTCTGGTGTCCTTAAAATTGCAGTCCTTGATGAAACTGGTTCGTTTCCTGTAATTAAAGAGTGGAAGATTAACTGTAAAAAAGGAAAACAGTGAGGAAAATTACAGACAAATTGATGTACAAGGCTGAAGATCAAAGTGCAGATAAATTCAGAAAAGCACAAAACCTACAACTTGATAGGTACAGAAACATTTACATATCTACTGACCTCACAGTCGAACAACAAAACAAAACAATAATCATCGATTGACAGATAAAGTAAAGCTGTTGATAAACTTACTTTATAATATAAATTAAAAGTTAATGTACAGACAGAGGTCATGTGATGAAGATAGCCAGAACAAGCCCTATACATATGTCCCCAATGACTAGCAGGCACAAAAAAAAGTGTAGAATGTAATGAAATGCTATTTTCTGGGTAGAGCCCTAGAGGCTCCCTGGAGCTATTTGACTGATGTTAGCTAATATTAGTATGGGGCTTCAGTCATATGGAATTATGTCTACTAGGGACCATTAGCCAGAACATGGTCCCCTCAGAGAAGCATAGGGAGTAATGACCTATGAAACTCACATGTATGAAAGTATTTATGTCTGCCATCAACCAGGGTTGAGCACCCAGAAAGGTAGACGCTTAAAAACAGACCCCTCCTAGAGCCAGATTCACGAAGCAGTTACATACGTACTTATGAACCATTTTCTTCTTAGCCTCTTCCTAGTGGCTATGTCGGTATTCTGGTGGGCATTTAAGATGGAAAATCTTCGTAAGTACACACCGTTGGCTAAGAGTGCTCTCGACCACTCGTAGCTTTACGTAAACTGGATATAACTCAATTTTTCTCTACTTCACAACATGGAGGATCGATTTTTTTTATAAACAATGTCTTTTATGATATTAGAATAAGTTTTATAATAGCAAGATATTATACCAGTAGTTATTAAGTAAATAAACACTGGTGAACATGAAATATGAGAGAAGGTGATGATCCCCGGGCTGGTGGGAGGATTTTTCTATCATTACTTACTTGTGTCATCACTTATTGTTGATGAAGATGGATTTTGGGGATGAAGCACTTTTGCTGGAGAATCATCTGTTGCCAATTCACATGCACAGAATCTCTTGACAGGTAGTGGAAATTCTTCTTTGACTGAAACTATATAAACTGTTAATGGTCGAGGAATTATCTAGTTTAGTTTGCACGAATATATGTTAAAAACAAACAGAAAACCATGAGGAATTTCCCTGTAAAGTTACCCATTTCAAAATAATTGTACTGTAACCTGTATTACAGGCTGCACCTCACATTTTCTGGAGGGAGCCCCTTGTGGCTCCCCTACAGCAATGTCTGAGATGGCTTCATCCTAAAAGATAACATTAGTTGGGATAGTTCTGTTTGGCCTACTGGGGGACAAAAGCCAGAATCTGGTCCCCTCACAGAGGTGCAGAGAACAGGTAACAATCTGCCATCTCCAAAGAAAAAGCCTCCTGAAAGTCACCGTAGGTTTACGGACAACTGGAGAGCTCACGGAAAACGAATCCACGAAAACCTCCAAACAACTACCACAAATGAGTGACATGGAACAAGAGATATACTCAAACAAGCTCAAAGCTCATCAGTACTCATTACCACCACCAGGCAACTTGGTCCCAGCTCCCAGCCAGTTCCTCAAGTCAGTTCTGTTCCTGATGTTTGTGTACCCACTCCAAATTTATGTGGAAATTACGGATCTGCATAATGTGATTAATGTGATCAATGCGGCAAATGAAACCCAAACCCTAATACTGGGAGATGGGGGGGGACTAACCACAAGACCATAGATTGGGTCAACCTAACATCACAAGCAGAAGGTGAACAATTTCTCGACCTTGTGCAAGACTCCTTTCTCCTACAGCATGTGGTATAGCCACACGTGGTAACAGTTTACTTGATCTTGTGCTGACAACAGAAGAGGGTATGGTTGGTCAAATTCATGTGGGGGGGAAAAGCTAACACTTTCGTGCGACAACCATATTTTAAGATGGACTACGAATATAGAAACCCACATAAAGGTCAGAGATGATGAACTTCTAAATTTTCAGCGAGGTGACTATCGAGGAATGAAAGAGAAACTGCAAACCATCTCCTGGAGGGAGCTGATGGGCGAACATGGCACGGAAGCATCATGGTAAAATTTCAAGAGGGTCATCACGGAACTCGTTCAAAAAACCAGCACTGAAGGTAATGAAACAACATTTTCTGGGTGAGCCCTGGAGGCTACCTGGAGCTATCGGGTTAATATGCGATACGTTAAACCAGGGCAATGACCAGGGCTAATGACCAGGGCTAATGACCAGGGCATTAGTCAATGGAGTTCGGCTTACCAGGGACCATGAGCCTGAATATGGTCCCCTCAGTGAGGCACAGAGAGCAATAGCCCTGGAAAATCCCCGTGATTAGGGGTTTTCCTTCTCTACCATCAACCAGGGTTAACCCCTCAACTGCTCGGTTTCCAAATATGGCACCTCCCCAGTGCGCAGGAAATAAATTCTCTGATTTTTTTTTTTTTAAGGTGTCAAAAACCCTTCCCTGAGTATGAATATGTTAACAAGAAGTCGAAATTGTACTTACTTTGGCTGCTATGGGGTCCATAAGTTCGCGTGTGATGTCATCATTTCCTTGGTTGCCCATGGCGTATACCTCCCGGGGCCAGTAGGGCGCCCGGGTCAAGATGCGCGAGTTGCCACGAATATATTTTTGTTCATTTTTTGCGCGCAGTTCCAAATACATTTTAATTGTTTTTCGTGCCAGTCCTATGTATAATAAACATGTACACTATATTATAGCAGTAAAACAACCGTACTGTCCGTAGACAGTGTGTTACGTGCATGACACATGTGTACACATATCCTGCACATATTTCCAATGTATCATGCTAATTTATATGTATATACAATCTATTTACACACTGTACAGTATCACACACTATATACTTACACCATAAACACACTCAGAACTCTGTGAGTGTGAGCTGCCACAGTTCTATGTAGAGTGTGGGCAGTCAGTCAGACTGCACTGACTAACTGCCCTGAGTGACTACTCTGACCGACTGCTCTGACTTCCCTGACTTACTTATACGTATACAAGATGGTACAGTACATTGGGTTTGTGAGAGTACAAAATGTTGGTGTTGTGTAAACATCAGATTCATGTTGTTTACAAACTGTGACTGGTTGCTACCACAACTGTGAATGCCTAACAGCTTTTGACTGGTTATGACTGACTGACTTGTGACTGTGAATGCCTGCATGACTTTGACTTAACTGAAAGCCTGATTGATCAATACAATTTGTATATGAAATTTTTGAAAACAAGATCAAAGGGAATGAAACACATGCCAATTAAAGTCTTTTGCAAAGGCTTCCAAGAAAGTTGGCATTGTCTCACCTGCACCTGACTAATAACATGTTGATCCAAATGCGTCAACATCTGAGGTTACCTTTCACCATTATTCTCCACTTCAGCCAACCTAACACCATCAATCATCCACCACCATCTCTTCCATGTAAATAACTATGCTACATCAACAATGATCATCAACATAACAAATGGATCAGGACTTCTACTACTGGGGAGTACAAACAAAATAGTTGCATTTATGCTATGAACCTGTTGATTTTTTCCCCCTTATATTTTCCTACATTTCCCATATATTTTTTCCTACATTTCTCGTTTAGGAACTTACACGGTAACCGACAGGTCTCATCCCTGAGGGGTTCGCAAAGCAAGTGGTCCTCTGTAAATGGGTCCGGAGATTGGTCTGGGAATCCTTGTTACTCTGCTACTATACACAATTCATGTTTACTAAGTAACTTTACAGTGGTGGGAATATGAAGGTAAAGCAGTGCCAAGTAACTACTATAAATTTTGTTTTGGTGCCCTTTCATAAACTGTGCTAAACCTGTTGTGGCCATAGAAGGTATATTCATTCATCATTCAGGCATATAGGTATTTCACCAATAAAATTAACAATAATTTAAAATAAGAAACTATGAACAAATGCATCTCAAGAAAGAATACAAGAAATGTTTGGATAAAAATGCTAAGATCATAGGAACACTGCAGTAGTCCTATTATTTGTAGGAAACCTGTTAGCTCTTTGTTTCAATAGTGCTAGCTGGCAGCCCATTTCACTCATCCACAATCATACATCCAAACTGGTACTTCCCTATACAGTAACTCTCTTAAAACAGTTTCTCAAGTTGTACCCATTGTTTTGGGTTCTGAAACAAGTGCAACTTTAACACTGATCCAGAAGTTTAAAACGTCCAGAGTAAACAATGCTTACCAATACTTTCCGCTGCTTCATATTGGACGTCTGCATTTCTTTTCTTTGGTTTGGCAGAATACACATTTTCATTGTCGCTCTCAATATCCGACGTCAATCCAGCAGTTTGACAGTAGATTTTTACCTGCTCCCAATCATCTGCAAATACAGTACATTTAAAATAGTATACTGTATACTGTAATTTCAGAAGGAATGGTGTACACTTAAAAATACTAACTAAAATCGGTTTGCATAGAGAAAGAGAATATTTTACTAAATTTTAACCACTCAAAAAGTGACTGTCATCAAAACTGTTACCTCACCCTAGGGTGAGAAAAAAAAAAGTTGAATGTAATGAAACGCCATTTTCTGGGTGAGACCCGGAGGCTCCCCGGAGCTATCCAGGCTGATATTGCTAATAATAGACTTTGGCATTAGTCAGTGTGAAAGGAGTTCATAGGCCTACCAGGACCACGAGCCAGAACCTGGCCCCCTCAGAGAGGCACGAGGAGCAATGACCTATAGAAACCCCCATGTGGTTGGAACCATTCTATATCTGCCATCGACTGGATCAGGCACCCAGAGAGGTAAACATCCCAAAACAAACCCCTATTCTAGTTAAGAAAATGCAACTGAAAGCTGAACTAGTGGATAGATCTCCCCAAACAAAAACAAGCAAACGAGCATGAAGTCAAGACGTCGCTGTGCCGCCATCTGCGCAGCTCACCCCTCCCTGGGAGGGGGGAGGGGGAGGACCAGAATCCCCACGCCGGCTATCCTAAACCTCAGTTCTGAGGCTGGACAAAAAATATGCAAAAAAACGCCGACTGGAGGAAGGGAGGGTCGCCGGGGAGTCTCCAGGTCTCACCCAGAAAATGGCGTGTCATTACATTCAACACTGGTTTTCTGGGGGAAGCCCCTTCGGCTCCCCAGAGCTAATTACCCAAAGACAAGGACAAAAACGGGACAAACCCAGGAGGGAGAAACAATGTGCCCGAACCCGAAAGTAAGACAACTGGGAACACTAAATGACCCAACGGACAACCCGGGAGACCTGAATCCTGGAACAGGGACGAAGGAAACCCGGGCCAGCCCAAAGCACGTCCAGTGTCACAGAGGCCACGGCACGCTGGCAAAGACTGAGAGCCTCACCTGGACACAAGAAGAAGCAACCCCGGCCAACCAAACAAGCAGTAACAAACCCTAGAGACCCCCTCTGGAAAACCGCCGTCCCAACTGCACCAGAAAGGAAGAACAAACCGATCCCAAGAAACCATGTTGAAACAAACTGGAATCAAAGGGGCCATAACAAACCAAAGGGGAGAGTGAGAGAGAGAGAGAGCACCCTGTCCAAGACCAGGATGTCTTAGGAAAGGTGAAAAGTGATGGCCAAAGCTGAAACAACGCTCAAGACAGCTAGCGAAATGGTGCAGAAGGAATATCAAAGCTGAAAGCAATCTGGAGCGGCTCCGCCAGTGCAGCATGAGACGAGGCAACAGTATGCGGCAAGATGACGATCCCGACGATTTTGTTTACAGAAAAATACGAGACAAGGACAAGAAGACAGCAACAAAAAAGCGCAGAATACCCATGAAGAGACAAAAAGAAAAGGGAAGGACCGCCAGGAAACCCCATACCGCTGCCGAGACGGAGCACGCAGGTGGGACACCATAAAAAAAAACAGCGTTGAATGTAATAAAACGCCATTTTCTGGGTGAGTCCCGGAGGCTCCTCGGAGCTATCCATAGCTGATATGGATACCCTAACTATTTTGCATCAGTCGCTGTGGGTGGAGTTCTAGCCTACTGGGGACCACGAGCCAGAACCTGGCCCCCTCACAGAGGCACGGGGAGCAATGGCCCATAGAAATGCACATGTGATTTGGAACATTCTATATCTGCCATTGACCGGGACAGGCACCCAGAAAGGTAAGCGCCACAAAACAAACCCCTATTCTGGTTAACAACGAAAATTGACAAACAAGTGGACAGAACTCCCCAAAGGAAAAACAAGCAAACAAGCATGACATTACACAAGCTGCACCGCATGTCAGTGCAGCTCCCCCCTCCCCAGGAGGGGGAAGGGGGAAGGGGAAAGGGGGAGCCCCAGACCCCTGTGCCGGCGATCCCTGCTCCAGTTCTGAGGCTGGATATCAAAAATCGCAAAAAAAAAAAACTCCCGACTGGAAGGCGGGAGGGTTGCTGGGGAGCCTCCAGGACTCGCCCAGAAAATGGCGTTTCATTACATTCAAAGCTGGTTTTCTGGGGGGACCCCCATCGGCTCCCCGGAACTATTTCACCAAAGACTACTTAAGAAAAAAGGGGGACGTACCCAGGAGGTGGTCGGTGCTCCACTCCTCAACTCGAAACATCGGGCTGCATCCGCCGACCTAAAGCAATACAGGCCCGACTGGGCCCAGAAACGTTCACAAGGTAGCGTGCAGCCAGGACCCTGTTTGACCGCCAAAAACCCTGTGTCTGAATGTCAGCCCAAGACATGTTGCTGAAGACAGCAGAAAGAGCAGCAAACTTACGAACGTCATGGGCACAGGGATATACCGCAGGCTGGCTGGATAACCCTGCAGACGACCTGAGAGACCCGAACCCGCGAACAGGGAAGAAGGGAAACCGGATCAACCCAAAGCGCGTCCTTGGACACAGAAGCCGTGGCATGCAGATAACGGCATGCAGACAACTGGACACAACACATGGTGAACTCCCGGTCTGACAAACCAAGCATCAACAACCCAAGGACCCCTCCGGAAAGCAGTAGTCTCATTCTTCGCCAGAAAAGAGGGAGACGGCTGCAGACGAACATAACTATGATGACAACCAATGAAGCAAAAACCTCCGCGCCTAAGAAGAGCATGAAGCTCCGCCACACGACCCCCAGAGGCCAATGCCAACAGAAAAAGAGCCTTAGCAAAGCAATCCTGAACCGAAGGGACCACAACAAACCGAGGAGAAGAAAGATAGGAGAGCACTCTGTCCAAAGACCAGGACAGCTCAGGCAGCGCATGAGCAGTCCGGAGGTGAAACAACGCAAGACACAGCTTGCGAAACGGTGCAGACATAACATCAATACCGAAAGCAAGGTGCAGCGGCTCCGCCAGCGCCCCACGATACGAGGCGACAGTATTAGGCATCAGATGGTGGTCCTGGAACAACCAAGAGAGAAAGGACACCACCACCCGAACTTAAAGTGAGGAACAACGACGACGGGCCAAAAAGAACCGGAAGGTCCGCCAGGAAACTTCATACTGTACTGCCTTTGAAAGGAAATCAGCAGGTGAGAAACCAACAAGGAAGCCACCTGCTCACCATAGAGATGGTGATAAACATAGTCAAAAACACCAAACGCAAAGACTCGCGGAGAAGAGTGAACCAGTCCTGTACTGGACCGATGTCCTGAAAGAGGCAGAACCACAGAAAAACTATCCAGGAGTTAGGGATAGTTTCAAAATGAGCACCTTTAGAGTGCACACAATTTAATACCAAAATGAAAGATGTAACACAAAACTTGATGTCAGAACACTTGAAAGATTATAAATACATTCTTAGCCCAAATTTTAAAATATTTGTTAAAATTCTATTTATTGTGATATTATTATGAGACTAGTTTTAAAATACGCATCTTTAGATTGTGAACAATTTGATACCACAATGAAAGATGTAACACAAAAATTTATGTCAGAACACTGGAAAGATATAAATAATTTTGTGATGATGAGCGTCCAAAATTAAAATATTTGTTAAAATTCCAGTTATTGCTCTATTATTATGGGAATACAGTGGTACCTCGGCTTACGAGTGCCCCTGGTTACGAGTTTTTCGGGTTATGAGCAGGATTTGCTCTGAAAATTTGTATCACGATACGAGGGTTGCCTCAGGATACGAGTTTGTTGATACTCGCACGGGCCGACCTAGCGCGTGGTGGCATGGCAATCGCCACTCAGTTTGCCAGTTCCTCGCGCCCAGTGACTATCCCGCCTGAATTCTTCACAAGGATTTACTGTTTATTTTTGGAGTTTTTGCTATTTGAGCATAAAATTTGTTATAATATACATTGCAATGAGTCCCAAGAAAGCCAGTGGTAAGTAAGATTCAAGGCAAGAAAATGCATGTGAGGATGACAATAGAGGAAAAGCAAGGGATCATTTGGAAGCATGAAAATGAAAGCCTGCACGTGTTGTTGAACTTTGTAGGCAGTACAACAAATCCACGTCAACGATATGCACTATACTTGCCAAGAAAAAGGACATTATGAGTTCTAAAGTAGCAAAAGGAGTATCAACAATCACAAAACAAAGACCACAAATACTTGAGGAAGTGGAAAAGTTATTAATTTGGATACACAACAAGGAGTTAGCGGGTGATAGTGTTTCAGAGGCCATCATTTGTGAGAAAGCCAGGGTATTGCACGAAGACCTTGTAAAGAAAACCCCTGGAATGAGTGATGCCGATACGAAAGACTTTTAGGCAAGCAGGGGATGGTTTGACAAATTTAGAAAAAAAAAAGAAGTATTCATAGTGTTGTTAGGCATGGGAAGGCTGCCAGCTCAGACAATCCAGAGGCTGAAAAATTTATTGAAGAATTCGCAAATTACAATAATTATTGTAATTGGCAAATGACAATAACTTCCTTAGCACAGGAATCAACATGTGATGATAACTATAAGGGTTAAATTACAACTTAGGGGAAGCACTTTACACTTAGTTTAATGAAAAATTGAGGTGCTGCTGCAATTTTTTTAATTATTATAATGATTCCATTTAGTGTGGGAAAAATATAGTGAATGGTTAGTCGCCTTATTTATTAATAACAAACCTTGTTTTATTACCTGTTAAGAACAGGATAGACTTGATGTAACGCACTTCCCAGATACTTTTGTCAGGAATTTCATGGTTTTGCGCTCTGGTTGTCTGATTGTATGTGGGCCAGTAGCACGAGTACTCCCCCTAAAATGTTAAAACATAATACAGTACATGCTAGATAAAGTACTTATAAAAAATATTGTTTGCATGAACAGTTAAAAGACAGGGCATTAAGATTTTAAGTGTGAACAGTATGTATTAATGTTACTCTTACCGTTTCAAGTTTGTTCATCCAGGATGTGGCGACAACATTCACAGTATTGCCATTGCCAATAAAGGTAACTGAGGCATACTTAAAATCCTCAGCTGACATCTGAAAAGAAAACTATTGATTAGGACTTTTCTGATTTTTTTAAAGGCTAATTTGAATATTTAACAATAACACATTAGTCTTCTTAGAAATTGCCTGTTTTGAAGGCAAAAATATTTATTATATTTGTGTAGCTTGCAATATTAGTCCAAACAATTATTACAACATTGTCACAACTAAACGATATTTACTAGACGTGTAGTATTGACAGGATAGTCATGGTTTCTTACACAATCATCTTACCTTTTTTGTTGAATAAACTTCATAGAATTAATTTCATAGATATTTCTGGTATGCATTGCAAATGCCACAATTAATTTTGAGCCACAAGGTGTATCAGACACTGAATGTAATAAAACTCCAGTTTCTTGGCGAGCCCCGGGGGTTCCCTGAAGCTACTATCACTGATAGTGTAATTACCTAAGTGTAGTTACAGGATGAGAGCTACGCTTGTGATATCCCGTCTTCCCAGCACTCTGCCATATAACGCTTTTAAATTATTGACAGTTTTGGCCTCCACCACCTTCTCACCTAACTTGTTCCAACCATCTACCACTCTGTTTACGAAAGTGAATTTTCTTATATTTCTTCGGCAGCTTTGTTAAGTTAGTTTAAATCTATGACCTCTTGTTCTTGAAGTTCCAGGTCTCAGGACTTCTTCCCTTTCAATTTTACCAATTCCTGTTACTATTTTGTATGTAGTGATCACATCACCTCTTTTTTTTCCATTAATTATTACCACGACTGTGGTAATAATGAGCGCTACGGGGTAGACGCGTCTGCTGACCTGTTATTGTCTGGTCTCACCATACCAACTTAGTGGTTCGCTGTCTTCTGCTAGCTGCAGTTTTGTGTTTTCACTATGTTGTTTGGAAACCATACCAACTTAGTTGTATAGTTATGGTGAACAAAACATATAGATACTTATATATAACATCTGTATATAGTGTAATAAAAGCAAAAACAGTATTGTGGGAGGAGGAATGTTGGCGAGTGAGGTGTTGGTGAAGGAGGGAAGGTGGTGGCGTCTGCTAGCTGGTGTGTGGTGGCAACTCATGTTGTTTGGACCCACCATACCAACTTAGTGGTTCGTTATGATGAACAAAACATGCAAAACAAAACATGTGTATGAAGTGTAATAACAGCAAAACTATTTGTTTATTGTTTTATGAACATAATAATTGAATCACTAATATGTACACCATACTTTTGAGCATAGCAATGGTTCACACATTTTAAAATGTTAAGTCAAGAAAAAATAACCCCTCAAAAAACACAAAATATAGGGATAATTATAATAAATATAATGATTTAGGGGATATATTTAGGGTATCCTTTATATAAGTGAAAAAGCCCTAATATGGACCCTAATCATAAAAACAACCTAAAGAGACAAAGAAAACAGTTTGGAATCAGAGAAAAAATCAGCCCCCCAAAAAATTAAAAAACCCAAGTTTTGCTAATTGTGACTGACTTATTTGTTGACCAATTTCATTCTATCTTCACATAGTTATGAAAACATATGCATTCTCCAGGATGTAAAGTCTTAAACAAAATCAGATAATAAACAAAGGAGAAAAAATAACTAAAATCTTAAAAAAAAAAAAAAATCCCCTAAAAAATATTTTTGGGACATTGATGAAAATAACATATATATTAACATTGGATAATGTATTTATATGGTATATAACAAAATAGATCATATGAACATAGTTATTCGTTATGTTTTGTGATATTACGTATTACTCGGCAATGATATAAAGGCACCAACTGCACATCCACTTTGTGGACACTTCTTACTACTATTTTTTTCTTTGAGCATAGGACAGGTGATTGCATTTCTTTTTACTGCATAATCCTTCAGTTACAGTTATTGGGAGCTGATCTTCTTATAAATAAAACGTTCTTACTTTTCAAAAATTTGTCTGAAATCAATTTCTGAAAATATTTTTATGAGTTTCCCAACACTGAAGCCAAAAGTTGGAGATTTGTTTAACATTTTTAAGTTATTTTTACATATAACTAATATTTTTCGATGTTATGCCCCCTAAATTTGCGGCAATATGCGGGCTCTAAGGGTTAACACGGGTGGGTACTTGAACAAGGGGACACAGGTGGAAACTGAGTACCCAAATGAGCCACAGGGTCGTTAGAAAGAACTTTTTCAATGTCAGAGTAGTTGATAGATGGAATGCATTAGGCAGTGATGTGGTGGAAGCAGACTCCATACACAGTTTCAAATGAAGATATGACAGAGCCCAGTAGGCTCAGGAATCTGTACACCAGTTGATTGACAGTTGAGAGGCAGGACCAAAGAGCCAGAGCTCAACCCCCGCAAGCACAACTAGGTGAGTACTGTAGCAACCAGGATAAAACAAACATTATGTTGGAAGTCAGAAAGGAACTGGCATCAAACCTGAAATTGGTACAAAACACAGTTGATCGAAGGCAGTCCCTATTAATTTTTAATCGCAAAGAAAAGGAGATAACATCTAGGTCAGAAAGAGCCATAGAAGAACCAAAAGTTGTAGATAAAATTGTTAGGTTAGTGGAAGGTCTTACAACCAAAGAGAATGTCTGCGACTACATGAGAATTGGCAGGTACGAAAAGGGGAAAGATAGACCCTTGAGGATCACCCTAAACGGTGCTAAACAAATGTAAGAATTACTAAGGAATGTTAAGAAATCACAAAGTGATGAGGAAGGGAAATTATGGTCATTAACCCTTAGACCGCGCAATGCATATACTGCATAGACGATGAGAGTAACTTTACTGAAACCACGCAATACATATATAGGCGATTGAGGCTCTAGCGCACGATTTTAAATGCCCCGCAAGTGATAGGGGCAGCTATAGTCCAGCTACGATCGATAGTTACCAGATGCGGCCTAAAAAAAAAATCGTGGGAAACATTCCCGGGTGTGAGAGCCTCAGTATTGAGTGAGCCACCAAGGCTGGCATACGCAGCATGAGCTCACAGCACCACTATTCAGCTTGTGACCACAGCATCGCCTAAAAATGTCAAAATATATATGTACATGCTATTATTTAGTGATGATAGTATTACAGAAGACCCCTGACTGTGATAAAACTGATCAGGATTCTGATAATAGAAGGATTGTGGTGCACAGCACTGGAAAGATTCGGAGCCAGAGGCACACAACCGCCAGGTCTCACATCAACCACAGAACTAGGGGTGTGGCTGCACAGGGGTCCGGGGCTTCTTAGCCAGAATGGGGTTTGTTTTGTGGCGCCTACCTTTCTGGGTGCCTGACCCCGGTCGATGGCAGACAAAGAATGCTTCCAACCAAATGGGGGGTTTCTGTAAGCCATTGCTCCTCATGCCTCTGTGAGGAGGCCAGGTTCTGGCTCATGGTCCCTGGTAGGCCTATGAACTCCATTCACATGGCTGATGCCAAAGTCTAATACAGTATAGCAATATCAGCCTGGATAGCTCTGGGGAGCTGTAGGGACTCCCCCCAGAAAACACCACAAACAGTACAGTGGGAGGGGGAATGTTGGTGAGTGAGGGAGGGAGCCTCAGCTGACTGTGTGGCAACCTCAATTATTGTCTTGACTCACCATACCAGCTTAGTTGTACACACATTTTATTATATAAATACAGTGGGGCCTCGATTTACGATGGTAATCCGTTCCCAGAGACATATCGTAAGTCGAAGCAATTTGTCCCATAAGAAATAAAGGGAATTGAATAAATCCGTTCCCCAGCCTCCAAAATATTAACTTGCAAATACATTTTATACCGAATACAATTTTTTCTCTAATTACAATACAGTACATATGTTTATCTTACCTTTATGGAGGACTCTTGATGGCGTATGGAAGATGGTGATGAGGGAGCAGGAGGAGAGGTGTTACTGTTTGGAAGGGAAGTCCCCTTCCATTATAACATCAGGCAGTGATGACTTTTCTGGGATACACACACTGGTATGTTTTGCCTGCATACCACTAGGACCTGCTTGTGGCTCACTGCTTGCTTGTGTTACTAAGAATCTGTCTAAAGACACTTGTTTTTCCCTACATTTTAACACTTGTCTGTAGTAAGACATCACATTGTCATTTAAAAGTCAATGCAATGGCCTGCTACAGCTTTATCTGGGTGAGTTTTTTCAACAAAACTTTGCAGTTCTTCCCAGACTTCACACATTTTCTTAATGAGGAAGGGACATCCTCTACTGCATCTACTTACAACTATTTTCTTAGGTTGAACCTTACCACTGACTTTCTTGGGACCCATGGCATGATATATAATAATCAGTTTTATGTTCAATAAGCAAAAAATCATCACAAAAACGGAATTTCTTATAGGCATGATCGTCACTAAGCGGGCAGCTCTAGTAAACTGAGACAGATCGGCCCGCATGACCGGGAACCACACGCTCGGTCGACCCAAACTTGAACCAACAAATATCGTTAGTCGACGACACTATCGTAAGTCGAGTCACATTTTTTTATCAAATTTACACCGTAACTTGAAATTATCGTAAGTCGGGGCAATCGTAAGTCGAGGTACCAACCACTGTATATCACATTACACACTATTGTAATTAATATTGCAATATTATTTAAATTGTAATTATAATAAATTTTGTAGTTACAATAATATTGTAATATTATTGAAAAAAGGGAAAAAATCAATCAAATATATATATTGAAATAATTAGGTAATAATATCTTTGTAGCAACTACCAACCAACAGCTCAGGCAGATGAGATCTCTGATGCTTGCTCTGTCAACGCCTCTTTTTTTTTTTTTTTGCCATACTTCCCAACCGTATTGCTGCTAAAATATGCCACCTATGATTTTTTTATTATTTTTTCCCGTGATCAGGAAATACAAATGAACTCTTATATACGACAAAATGATTTTTTCATTTTTATATTTCTTGCGCCTTGGCAAGTTGCAGGCAATAATTGCAAGATCAGACCAGGGGTTAATGTCAACCAATACATGATCACATGTGTAATTACCTAAGTGTAACTTAGGTAATGAGGTGTAACACCCTCCCCCCCCCTGTTCTAAGAAGTGTGAGGAAATCTGGTATTTGTTAAATAAAATCCTTTTTGTAAAATTGTACCCCAAGGTGTATTTCTTGTAGTCCCATGTAGTTAGAACTGGTGATTATTACTATATAACCTCTGCAATTCCACTATTTATAAGAAAGTAAGAACGGTTGTTGTTAGCGATACTTTAGGGTACGGCTTTCAATCTCGTACCTTACAACAGTGCCACGCCATCAGTGAAATATTTTTTTAAATAACTTTTTTATTTTCATAGTAACTTTGAACATTTTTGGCCAAGACTATGTCTGGTAGCAGCATCAATTGTTCTGGAGATGTTAAGAGGGAGAAGGTTGTCCTAACAAAGACAAGTTACGTGTTATACATCTCAACCAGTGAGGCGTCACAGGCAAGCCAAGCGCCTTCAACCATTGAGGTGTCACAGGCAAGCCAAGCACCTTCAACCATTGAGGCGTCACAGGCAAGCCAAGCGCCTTCAACCACTGAGGCGTCACAGGCAAGCCAAGTGCCTTTAACCAGTGAGGTTTCAGCAGCTGGCAGTCAAAACTAACTTTGCTTAATGAACTGTACAGTAATTTTAAGTGTTAATTTTAGTGTTTTCTTAGTATAGGTTACGTAAATTGTCAAGAATTCTTAACTGCAAGATGTGTGGCATCAATCAAAAAGACGAACAACAACAAGGTAAGTTGAGATTTCTAGTTGAATATTTAATAATTTTATGTGGCAAGACATTTCAAATTATGTTGTTTGTAGTATAAAAATAGTTGGAAATGGTTACTTTTGGACTCAAGAGGTGAAAAAGTACCATTATCCAGAACACGTGATTATCCGGCTGGGGGTCCTTCCCATATAGTCTGGATAATCAAGTGGAGACAGTACAGTGCTATATAGCACTAGCTTAGTGCTTCAGTTTCATAATTACATTACAATACTTACTATTGATTTAAAGTCTGCAGAAGTTGACAGCAGCTCCTGATTCTGCAATACGCCTCCACAAATTACAGTGTTTTCATTGCTGCAACCAGAGTTAAGATTTGACTGATTCTTGTGTAGTCGCTTTAGAGCCCGTGATTTGCGTTGCCATTCTGCGTTATATTGTCGATGCTTCTCTATTATATGCTCATACATTCTGATAAAGAGAGTTAAAATTCTAGATTACATTATTATTGTTAGTTCTAACAACATTGCCACCAAATGTTAAAACTTCCATCACCACTACTGAACCTTTCAACATCACTAATACAACCACCTGCCAATACAACTTCCTCTGCCATCATCATTACCACTATTACTTGCACTAAAAAACTAGCATTGAATGTAATGAAACGCCATTTTCCGGGTGAGACCCGGAGGCTCCCCAGAGCTATCCAGGCTGATATTGCTACTGTTAGACTTTGGCATCTCTCATGTGTATGGAGTTCTTAGGCCTACCGGGGACCATGAGCCAGAACCTGGCCTCCTCACAGAGGCATGAGGAGCAATGGCTTACAGAAACCCCCCATTTGGTTGGAAGCATTCTATGTCTGCCATCGTCCGGGGTCAGGCACCCAGAAAGGTAAGCATCCCAAAACAAACCCCTATTCTGGTTAAGAAATTGCTACTTGAGAACCGAACTAGTGGACAGAACTCCCAAAATAAAAACGAGCTAATGACCATGACGTCACCACGTCACCGTGCCACCGTCTGCGCAGCTCCCCCCTTCCCGGGAGAGGGAAGGAGGAGCCCCAGACCCCTCGCGTTGGCAACCTAAGACCTCAGTTCTGAAGCTGGATACCAAAACACGCGAAAAAAAATGCCGACCGGAGGGAGGGAGGGTTGCCAGGGAACCTCCGGGTCTCACCCAGAAAATGGCGTTTCATTACATTCAACGCTGGTTTTCTTGGGGGGTAGCTCTATCGGCTCCCCGGAGCTACCTACCCAGAGACAAAAACAAGAGGGACCTAACCCGGGAGGTAGAAGTCGCTCACTCCCCAACGCGAAGCAGAGACAAAAGACTGCAACTGCCAACCCATGGCCACACAGGCTCGACAAGGCCCAGGAACAGCAACGAAGGAATGCATAGCCAACGTACGAACGTCTTGAGCACGGAGACAGACAGAAGGCTGGCTGGACCGAACCACCCAGTGGACGACCCAAGAGAACCGCACCCTGAAACAGGGAAGAAGGGAAAACGGAACAACCCAAAGCGCGATCCCAGCACAGCAGCCATGGCTGCAGTGCCAGGGTACGCAAATAACAGATAAGCGCCGCAACCGAAGACAACACATGAACACACAAACAAGAATAGAAGAGAAGAGAGCACCCAATCCAAGAACCAGGACAGCTCAAGCGGCGCAAGAGCAGGCCAGAGGTGAACCATTCCAGAGACAGCTCGCAAATTGGTGCAGAGGGAACACCAAAACCAAAGCAACCCGGAGCGGCTCCGCCAGTGCCGCAGGAGACAAGGCAACAGTATGTGGCAAGATGAAGGCCCTGAACCTCCACAAGAGAAGAAGACCACGTCAACAAAATGAAGCAAACCTACCAAAAGACAAAAAGAAAGAGGAAGGACCGCCAAAAAAACCCACAACCCCCGCCTAGACGAAGCACGCAGGTGGGACACCATCAACGAAGCCACCTGAACATCAACAGATGGTGAGAGATTTGAGGCAGAACCGAACTAGCCCCACCATGGACCAATCGAGCATAGGAAGAGGCAGAGCCATGGGAAAAACCTCGGGTGTGAACACCGAGCAAACAGAGCCGGAAACCCAAGCCGGCAAGGAACCAGATGGAACATCTGTCGTACAGAAAACTTCCCAATGTTAGCGAGCTCGCCAAGAGATCGGAGACACTGTGGTTCCAACACGAGACTCGTGAGAAGTGACACCGTGAGATTATGAAAATGCCAACTAGCAGGGTAAGCCAAGAAACCAGGAACCCAAACCAGGCAAGCCGGGAAAGAACCAACCCGGGCGAGCAGAAACACCCCGTTAGGGAGGAACCCCCCAGGACCATTGAAGGACCAACAAGTCCAACAACGGATGACAACGAGAAACCGCCAACAGAAAAGCGCCGAAACACAGATGCTGCAAACGGCAAGGACAAAATCACGACAAAAAACGAAGAGCCAGGACCCAGGCCGAGGCCAACGAGGAAGCAAGCACTGCGAATCAAAACACAAAGCAAAAAGCAGGGACACTGCATCCCACAAGAGTTGCGAACGCAGCCCCAAGGCAAAACAAAGCATGCAATATTGAGTAAGGTATGAGGAGAACAAACCAAGATGTGAACAGCATGAAATAAAAAATGCACCGCCCGAAAGGGAACACAAAGAAAAAGGCCGGAGCCAGGGCCCGAAACCTAGCACCTCCCGGCCCAACGAAAAGAAACTGCAGGGCAGGAGAGGAAGAACAGAAGCCACATCAACCTGCATACAGGGCAACCCAGAAGCTGGAAGTGCCAAACAAGGAGAAGATGAAAACTCAGGACCAGAAACAAACACAGGGGGCAGTGTAAAAACAGGGAACTGAAAATGGACAAAGTTCAACCTTAGTATTAGTAGAGCCAAGAAGCACATACTAAAACACACAACAATGTGTAGGAGAGAAAGAGAAAAAATGCAAGAAAAAGACCAGAAAGACAGCCCAAGCATCAGCAGCTAAAGACAAGAGTTTAGAAGGAAGATGAGGAACGAATTAGACAGGCAGCAATCGGGAATGAAGGGACATGACCTACACACAGAGAATCCAATGTATATGGAACGGCTCAGCCAGGCACTGCACGACGGCAAGGAATGAGTGTCCAAGACGAGATCACGCAAGACGAGGCCGTGCTCCACCTGGTAACAAATAAAGACGAAAAAGGAAGGCCACAGGAAGAAGCACGCAATGGGCCAAACAAAACGCCTAACTGGTGATTATTACTATATAACCTCTGCACTTCCACTATTTATAAGAAAATAAGAGCGGGTGTTGCTAGCAATACTTTAGGGTACGGCTTTCAATCTCGTACCTTACAACAGTGCCAAGCCATCAGTGAAATATTTTTTTAAATACCTTTTTTGATTTTCATAGTAACTTTGAACATTTTTGGCCAAGACTGTCTGGTAGCAGCATCAATTGTTCTGGAGATGTTAAGAGGAAGAAGGTTGTCCTAACAAAGACAAGTTACGTGTTATGCATCTCAACCAGTGAGGCGTCACAGGCAAGCCAAGCGCCTTCAACAAGTGAGGCTTCACAGGCAAGCCAAGCGCCTTCAACAAGTGAGGCTTCACAGGCAAGCCAAACGCCTTCAACAAGTGAGGCGTCACAGGCAAGCCAAGCGCCTTCAAGTGAGGCCTCACAGGCAACCCAAATGCCTTCAACCAGTGAGGCTTCAGCAGCTGGCAGTCAAAACTAACTTTGCTTAATGAACTGTACAGTAATTTTATGTGTTAATTTTAGTATTGTGTTAGTATAGGTTACTTAAATTGTTAGGAATTCTTAACTTCAAGATGTGTGGCATCAATCAAGAAGATGAACACCAACAAGGTAAGTTGAGGTTTCTAATTGAATATTTAATAATTATATGTGGCAAGGTAATTCAAATTATGTTGTTTGTAGTATAAAAATAGTTGGAAAGGGTCACTTTTGGACTCCAAAGGTGGAAAAATACCATTATCCGGAACACGTGAATATCCGGCTGGGGGTCCTTCCCATATAGTCCGGATAATCGAGTGGAGACAGTATATCATGAAACTTAACAAGTGATGAAAAACGTGACAGTTTCAGACCACGAAGGAAGAGTTGAAACAGGAATTTCCTTAAGTACTTTCGTATTTAATAATACATCTTCAGAAGGATTCCTTCAGAAAGGTTCAAACCTAGACTGACAGAGGCAGTGAAACTCCTTGACAAGTCCAGTACTTTAACCAAAGGGCTACTAGAGTGTTAAAAGTTAAAAGTCACTTTGACTTTTAAACGCCTTTTCTGCTCAAGTCGCCTTCATCAGTGCAAAATAAAATACTGTAGTACTTTTCAAAATAGAAAAGTACTTTCGTACTTAATAATACATTTTCAGAAGAATTCCTTCGGATGTATTATTAAATATGAAAGTACTTAAGGAAATTCCTGTTTCAATTCTTCCTTTCTGGTCTGACACTGTCACGTATATATGTAAAACACGTATATATGTAAATATACAGTGCATCCTCACTCTAACAAACCCCGCTCTATCGAATTCCCGGATAATCCGAACAAATTGAATTCGGTACTAAATGTTCAGCGGAACATGCAGATGTTCGATTAAGCGAGGATTGTTTGTTCAAGCGGTTACCAAGACTAAGCATCAGAAGTGGCTGTCATCAACTATGACTCACCAAAGTGTAAACAGTTATACAGCATTTTACTTTGCTTACCCATTGTTTCCAGTCAGACGTGGCACTAGACGTGATTTGATAAAGGGTCAAAGTTGGCCCTTTGCGCAAGGGGCCAACTGGGCCCAACGCATGGCCCTTTGCTAGTGGCTAATTAACAAAGATATGCTAACGACTTGACTCGTTAGCATATCTAACGATTGAATTAAGCCATTCTCAAGTCGATTGAATCACTATCGACTTGAGAATGGTCCAGGACGGACCGAAACGTCGTCGTCCCTTCACCTTCTAGTGTGTGGTCTGGTCAACATACTTTAGCCACGTTATTGTGACTCATCTCCTGCATAAAGATATGCTAATAAATCCTAAAATATTATATGCCTTCAGAAAGATTAAGATATATAATTATTATTGTGAGTGCATCAAAGGAAATATATCTTGTTGGAGAACAAAGATGTATAAATTTTAAGTTAAGTTTCATAGCGACTCTCGCATCTATTGGATATGCTGTCCATCTAATGACCCAAGACTATGGAAAAGAAGTTCCTGTAAAATAGTTTAACAGAGGAGGCAGATACTGTTGTGTAATGCTGGCCATTTCATCGGAGGCAACATGGCGAGTCACCTTCCATTAGAGTATCCATTATTAAGTAATACTAATTAAGACCTACCTGCCTTACTCTACAGAGTTGTGCATCAGCCAGTTCCACCTGGAGCTGTGAGAACATGATTCATAAAGGCATCCACAACACCTATGGTGTACCTGTCACCACACTCACAACTAGCAAGAGGGCACATCTCAATGTTAGTTTCCTAGCATAGACTGCAGTGTGAAACCCACCATTCCTTTCCAAGACCGATATCCTAGAAAGGATATCTTACCTTCACTCTCCATATTCTAGGTAAAATATAGCAGGGAGTGTCACTAGAACTGTACTCTACATGATTTGGCTACAGACGTTGTCCCAGCTCGTCTCTAACAGACAGAGGTGGGGCAGTAAACATACTTCAGTCAGTTACTATATGCGTGCTAAGTACCAGAGTTTTAACTGTTAATAGCATTACATCGCGGTTTAAATATTGATCAATGACTTATATACGACACGTATCAGTTTGGTGCGAAACTGTAGAAATATCTTGCGCGATCCGTCTTGTGTACGATGTGTCCTGCGTCCTGACACGACGCCCTCACCAACCTCACAACAATAACAACTCATCAACCTCACAATTCATCAACCTCACAACTCACCAACCTCACAACAATAACAACTCACCAACCTCATAAATTTCTAAACCCTACTTTAAGGTTTATAAAACATCAAATTCCAATAGATAGATATAGCTAAAGATATATTTATAATTTGCACTTTCACGCTGTATAATGTTCATTAAAGATCAACAGTAGACCTACCTGGGGTGTAAAGATGAAGCTTCTGGAGTGGCGTGCCTGACTCCTGGCGCCCGGCGCTGCTGCTCTAGGCCTACACAGGCACGAGATTGTAAACAAAATTTAGCGGGTCGCCTCCTGTCAAACGAACCTAAAATAATATTGGTAAAATAATAATTATAACAATAATAAAAACAATAATACTAATAGTAATATTAATAATAATATTAATAATAATAATCTATCCCTATCTTAGATACGGTATCTGCGCATGGGGGTTCAACCACTGCAAACTATCTCAAGCCCATCATCACCCAGTAAAAATCTACTATCAGATCAATAACAAACTCAGCTTTCAGACAACACTCAGCCCCCCCGTTTTACAAAATTATTAATGTTATGAATGTGTACATGTATATATAACATTACTAATTTTGTAACTAGCGTCAAAATTTTTTATGTGCTTAGCTAAACGAACTAGAGGGTTCAGTTCCTGAACCGATTATGTGCCTCTGTAATCCTTTACACCACCGCCCACGGGATGGGTATGGGGTGCATAATAAAGAAAGAAATTGAGTTGTTTAAATACCTAAACATGCTAAACATAAACTCACTCCACACCCATTCTCTTGTGCTGTTTACATTTTCATTTTATTTACGTTTACCCTGTTCTTAAATGCAAACCCTGTTCTGAAACTCTTCCTGGACAGACGTAATAGAATCCAGAGTCAAACTTAATCTGTGTAAACACTATGCAAATAAAAGAGATAGTGTTTAAGTTAAGCTAGTTAAATTTAGTTAAGCTAGTTAAGCCTAGTTAAGCTAGTTAAATTAAAATAATGGGAAGAGTGATTAGTAAGTAATAGGGTAGTTCAGTTTAGTTCATTTATTATGCAGTCCATACCCATCTTATGGGCGATAGGGTAGCAGCGCAGTGCTTTGTATACCTAAGTTTGTTAATAAAAAAAAGTAAGTTGAAATAATATGAACAGATATAAACTAACATAATATTTTTTATTGTACATAAAACACCAACTCAAAATATAAAAAATATATTAACAAGAAATATTTTGAAGTTTATATTCACAGTAAGAAAAAAAAGAATATTAATTTCTGAAGTTTAGATGAATGATCCCTGAAAAGTCATCAGCTGGGTTTTGTTTTGGTTTCCGGAGTCTGTCTTTATTTTTCTTTTCGTTTTTCTTTCCCACAATGGTGAATAGTGTGTTATTGAAAATGCAATAGAAAAGACGCTGGACCGATTACTAACTAAATTGTTTACACAAGTAAACTAACCCATTTTCGAGGCTGACCCAACACACCTCATCCACATCTACAGAGAATGACATCCAACCTAACGTATCTATCATTGCTGTATACAAATCGTTTGAACTGATGCTGGACAAACTCCTAAATAACTACTTAGCACACCTTACTCAAGTCACTTCCTAGGCTGACTTGCCACAAACCCCAACCACCGGCACCAGGAGTAAGAAACCCCCAGCTGTACAAACCTCCCAGCGACGGGGCACATTGACTGAAAAAACATATAAACCCCACACTCCCACAACACATCCTCCAACCAATCCCAGATATTCAACAAGGTGTACTTCCTTGTACTGGCACGTCAAAGAAAACCGATGCAATCACATCCCAGACGTAAAGATCCGAAATATGACAACATAACATAACCTATCCTCAACTAACCTACCACAACCTAACCTAACCTTATACACACTAACCTCATGTTATTTAATGTACTCTAACTTAACCTACCCTAATCTATCCAAACTATCTGAATTGCGACTAACTCCCAAACATACTTCGACTCGCAAACTCAGTCTCCTGATTAAACCCCACACCTTCCATAGAACAGCAACACTGCTATCACCATCAACACAACTCCTCATCTTTGCCATCCTGAGTCTGTTTCCACACATATGTTTATTTTTGTCTTTATCCCCACACAAATAGATGACATCGATAACTTTCAACCTCTGCCAAATTATGAACATTGATGCGCCACTGTGAGTGCCACATCTTTCAACATTACCACTCGTACAGTCATCAGGAGGAAAAACCTAAACGCAAACTGCACGTATCGCGAAGAAGTGTCATTTCTACCTCAGAGACAATAAGAAATAATTCTATCCTTAAGGAGCTTGGGAGGGACGTCATTATGTAGATGGTAGTAGGTAGGAGAGTCTTGTGAGGAAGAGAATTAAGGAATATTTCACAAATAAGACGTAACGCTATTGTATTATGAGTTATAAAAATCAACCCAATCACACCTAATCCAGCCCACCCCAACCTTACACAACATAACATAATCCAGACTAATTGGTCCACAACAAAAAAGTTCCAGGTTTGGCTCCTATGGTAGGACAGATGTTTGTGTATGTTTACTCTCAGTTGATGCTCCTCTTCACCTAGTAGGAAATATGGAAGAGGGGGAAGTCAAATCACATGCAGGCATTTCAACAAACCATATATATCAGGTTAGGCTGTGTTAGGTTCACTAAAGTTAGGTTCACTAGGGGTTAAGTTCACTAGGGACTAAGTTCACTAGGGTTAAGTTCACTAAGGTTAGGTTAGATAGGGTAAAGTTGGGCAGGTTTTAATATGTTGCCTAACCATCTTGGGTACAATATGACTTGTATCCAAAATAGGTACCCATGGTTTGGAAAACTGTTGTAGATTGCATTTAGGGGAAGGTCAGAAGTTGGCCTAGGGAAACTTTGATAAGCCTAACAAGCTTCCTCTCTCTGATAATTTGGAAACCTTATATAGTTATGATAATTCTATAACGGGCTTCATTTTAAACGTGTGTGTGATTTTACACTATACCAAGAGGACATGTTAGTCAAATTGTGCTTAACACTTTATTGCAGTGTATGGTGGCCACTGTGTTATTTGGACACAATACTGGCTTACTTGCATAGTTATGGTGAATAAAACATGTAGATATGTATATATAACGTGTGTGTAAATAGTGTAATAAAAACAATAACAGTATGGTGGGAGGAGCAATGTTGGTGAGTAAGGTGTAAGGAGTAAGCTAGGTGTTGGAGGAGTGAGGGAGGGCTTGCTGGGTGTGGCAGATCACACTCATGGAGTTCTGAGTGTGTTGATGGTGAATGTACATAGTGTGTGATAGTGTTTAGTGTGTAAATATGTTGTAAATATACATAATGAATGTGAAACATTGGATATATGAGGAATATATGTGGACACATTTGTGACGCATATAATGCATATAAGTGTCTTGGGACAATATGGATGTTCTACTGCCATGATATTGTGTATGTGTTCATTATTCAGAGAATTGGCAAGAAAAAACAAAACAAATGTATTTGGAAATGTACGCAAAAAATGAAAAAAAAATATTTGTGGCAACTCATGCATGTTGAAGCTGGCGGGTGACTGGCTCCGGGAGTCTACGTCACGGGCGACCACCAAATCATGACGTCACACGCCATTTTCCGGACCCCATTGCGGCCAAAGTAATTACAATTATATATTTTATTTTTTACATATCTGTGATCAGGGAAGGGTATTTAACATTTTCAAAAACAAAAAGAATTTTTTCCCGAGAATATTTTCCTGCGCACAGAGAGAGGTGCTGTATGTGGAAGGCGAGCAGCACAATGGTTAAATAAAACAATCAAACAAATTTATGTAAGAATAAAAAATACTCATATTGAGAATAGAGAAAAAGGGAAATTTGTGTGACAATATATTGAACTGCAATGAGCATATACAAATTATAACATAAAGGTACTCTTTAAAATCTGATAGTATTATCCTGTACAGTATGTCCTTTTGCTTTGGCAAATTTGAGGGAAATTAATATATTTTTAGAAATTTGAAGAGAATTAACATCTGTGTAGGTAGGAATTTTAACAATGCATGATCTAAATTATTTGTTCTCTATTTTAGACAATCAGAAAATTTACTCTCTCCATTGAGCAGTGTGAGAATTCCTGATGTTATATCAGCAACCAGTGATGCAATGTAAACTTTCAAGTGAGAGACAGAGGGAAGATTTATTATGGAAAAATATGTTGTAAGAAAACTGGACACATCTGGATTGTATTTTGTATCTGAGAAAACATTTGCTCTTGGCCAAGAAAGCTTTTCATCTGAGTCTCACTCTGATTGTGATTGTCAAACCTTGATTAAACCTGATCTATACATTACTACAATAGAAGTGTAAGAAAATATCTTCCTCCAAGACCATCAACAAATGTAACACTAAGGAGAAGATAAAACAAAGGTTGCTAGGCACATTAGGACAATGTAATAAGGTGTTACTTGAAAAGCTCCTAGAGCCGAGAACCCCGGAAAAATGACGTGCAATTGAGAAATGAATCTGCAATCAATGTTTCGAGACTTTAATCCAGGGTAAGTGAAGAATTAGGTCAAATTAAGAAAACTGTCACACACACACACACACACATATATACACAGTATAGGGGTGGTAGGAGAAGAAAATATCAAAGTGTTCAGTGACGATCCACAAGGTCTTCTCTGAGTACTCTCAATTTTTTTCTTCTCCGAGGCTATGGGTCCCTACACTTGCAACAGAGGTGCTACCCCTTCTAGGTTTTAAAAATAAAATTATATATATATATATATGTATATGTATGTATATCTGTATATATATATGTATATGTATATATATCTGTATATATATATATACAAAAATTTGGTAGCAGTCTCTCTTGTAAACATAAGTTGTTAGATATGACCGAAAACGTAAGATTAGTAATTCTAACAGGAATTTTCTCAATATTTCTTATGTTTCTTTTCACTGTCGATGGTAATTGAAAAATCAATTCTCCAAAATTCATTTTTTATTTCTAGTCTGACATGACGCCTGAAAGCATTTCGTAATAACTTATTACATTTTCAAAGACTTTAGTTTACACACACAACTGTAACCTCTAAACACACATCCGTACTTATACTCGCATTTGGGTGAGGTGATATGGTACAAAAGTTTTGGGTGAGGTGATTGACATTTACCCAAGATAGAACACGAACCCAATGGGTATACAAACATAAGAATGGAAGTAACTGCATAAGGCCTATTGGCCCATAGCATCAACATTTCCTCTTGATGCTTCTATCCAGAAGCTCAGCTTCTGGATTCTCAAGTTTTGGATCTGTGTGTGGTTCACTTGCATGGTGTGTCATGTTTTTGTGGATGGATTATCATGCTTCCTGTATCGATGAAGTGGACTATTGATGATGCATCCTTCTGTTGTCATTGCGAGATGTTCATTTGCCTTGAGTGGGTCCTCTTTGCATTGGCATGGAATGCAATCAAAAGGTGTGCATTTTAAAACTAGTCCCAAAATAATAGCACAATAAATAGAATTTTAACAAATATTTTAATATTTTGACCAAAAACATATTTATAATCTTTCAAGTGTTCTGACATTAATTTTCGTGTTACATCTTTCATTTGGGTATGAAATTGTGCACACTCTAAAGGTGCTCATTTTGAAACTACTGTATTCCAAAGTTGATTGGATAATAAATGAATTTTATACAAATATTTTTGTATTGGACGCGAGCAGTGTCCGTCGCTTGGACTCGAGAGAAAAAATCTGATGCCAGGGTCGTTTGAAGAGTGCAATAGTGTTAAATGTAAAGTGGTTATAGGCTATTGCTCCTGCACCTCTTTGAGGGGGACCAGGTTCTGGCTTGTGGTCCCCGGTAGGCAAAAAGACTCCTGTGACTGATGACCTCAAACTAATATAGCACATACCAGTTCGAATAGCTTCTAGGAGCCTCCAGGTCTTACCCAGAAAATGGCGTTTCATTACATTCAATGCTGTTTTTTTGAGGAATTAATCATGCCAGTCAGTGTACTTACCTTCATGTCTTGTGTTTCTGACCTATGCTTTTATTGGGTACGTTCTGTGTGGCATTGCTGGGCTTGGACAGGTCATGTGTATGTTTTTATTGTTAATAACGGTAATTTGGGTTCCCGTTCATGGTCATATAGTGAAAGTTAATTATTCTGGTCATAAATATAGTTATTTTAGCTGAGTAGCATTCTACTTGGGACATCCAATACACACATGATCCTGTAAGGGTGACACATGGCTTACAGTACTGTAGTTAGACGTACAAGTGGCCTTGTAGCACCAGTGGCATATGATGAAGTGGCAGAATAATTTACATAGAGTATAGGTATTCACAAACTCAAATTGCAACTTTGTTAAGAAATATATTGATATTTGAAAATTTGATGGGCATTTTTAACATTGCAGGAAGTTTATCGTATGGGTGTGCCTGGCAACATTTACGGCACTACTGGCCCTGCGTCTGGACGATGAATTGGACTGGAGCTTTTGGGTGGTGTTTTCACCGATATGGGTGTGGAAAGCTTTGGTGGTGGTGGGCGCCCTCATTGGCAACATTGTATGGTGGAAGAATCCTCATTACAGGTGTGACAACTTGAGCCATAAACTGTGAATTCTAGTTTCTGTATATGGGTGTGTCAATTTTGGCTAGAATTTGCCTTATTTCTGTTTCTGAGAGGGCCTTCCCTCAGTTCCTCCCTGAGCTGGCTGGCCTGGTTAGCATGCATGACCCTTGTGAGTTGTGAGTGTCTACCAGAGACCAGGATCAGAATGTGATTCCCTCAATATAGAGGTAAGAGAGTCTGGGGATACTAGATCATCCCCAGACCAAGAGGAAATAAGAAATAACACCAGAAAGGTAGATAGCTCCAAAACAAGCAAATGCATGGAATGCATTGGCAGCCCTGATATCAACTATGTACACATTTGTTATCCAATTACAACTGCTAGTTACATTTGTTCATCACTAGATGGCAACTCAGAGCTCGAGCCATCTGCCCACCTCAGTCATGCACCTAGTGAGGTTCAGTAATTACCAAAGTGTAGAGATCCAATCAACACACCTGAAAATGAAAAAACACTTTACGTTTCAGTTTGTCAGGGACCATTATCAAGTCATGTAAGAGAAAGAAAGTGGAAGAGATAAACAATATAAGATAAGAGAGTGAGATGAAAGGTGAAAGAAATGACAGAAAAATGAAGATAAGAATCAGATGAAAGATAAGAATAGGATGAAAGGTTAAAATAAGATGGAAGGAATTTATCCTGGGCAGTGCAAGACAGCTGGGCATGTCTCCTTACACCCGATGCCTTTGTTCACCTAGCAGTAAATAGGTACTTGGCTGTTGGTCAACTGTTGTGGGTCACTTCCTGATGAATGGTCAGATTCTCCACATATTCGAGAGTAGCTCAAATTATCCTCCCCAAAAAATATAAAATTGGGTAAATTCGGAAAAGAATAAGAATAAGAAAATGTAAGAGTAATGAGAATCAGGTAAAGTAAAGGTAAAGTTAAAAGTAAGGGAAAGAGAAAGTCAGAAGAATAGGAAAAAGATATAAATAAAAAATGTCATAGTCGTTTCTTCATTTTCAGATGTGTGGGTTGGATATCAACTCTTCAGCCATGTCATTGTGATTCAGTATCTATCCAAGTGTAGTTACAGGATGAGAGCTATGTTTGTGGCATCCCGTCTTTCAAGTACTCTTTGTCATATGCCACTTTGAAAATAGTTTTGGCATCTACCACTTTCTCATTTTACTTATGCCAACTGTCTACCACTATGTTTTCAAATTATAACTTTCTTGTGATTTGTTGGCACTTTCTTTCCTGATCTCAGGACCACGTCTCTGACTACTCAGTTTGATTCCTCTTCGATCTGTGATTCTTTCTGGGGGGGAGCTCCTACGGCTCCCCAGAGCTATCCAGGCTGATATGGATACCCTAACTATTTTGCATCAGTTGATGTGAGTGTAGTTCTAGGCCTACTGGGGACCACAAGCCAGAACCAGAACAGAACCCCCTCACAGAGGCACGAGGAGCAATGGCCCATAGAAATGCACATGTGATTTGAAGTATTCTATATCTGCCATCGACCGGGACAAGCACCCAGAAAGGTAAGTGCCAAAAAACAAACCCACCCAGAAAGGTAAATGCCAAAAAACAAATCCCTATTCTGGTTAAAACAACGAAAATCGCCAACGAGTGGACAGAACTACCCCCCAAAAAAAGAATCAAACAACTATGATGTTACACGAACCGCGCCTCATGTCTGCACAGCTCCCCCTCGAACAGAATGAGTTCGAGGGTTGCTCTGTCCCCTTGTCTCAGGGTGACTCTCACTGTTTTTGCCTCCGTTCGCTGCCTGTTGGGTCAGTGGCACCTTCAACCCAGAGTCCTGCAACTCTGGGTTGAAAATTAAATTATAAATTACCGTATATGCCAGCATATACGGTAATTTAATATTCCTGTTCCTCTATAATTATTGTACAGTAAGAACTCTCAAACTCGGACCTTGCAAGTTAGGATCTCTGGGCAATTCAATAAAAATTGAGACAGAGTTCTTGTTCATTTAATTTGTTTTGAGAGTTTGTTATGCAAAACTTGTGTATATTAAAAGCGATTAAATTATTGTAAATTCTCAAACATTTGCATTTATGACAAACATTTATGTGGACCAATAAACCACAATTACGGAGTATACAGAATAACCATCTTATTAGTGCTTAAAATATACATAAACTTTTTCTCCATGTTACATTTTTGTTCATAATGTACTTACTGCCTTACGTGGAAGAAAATTGAATGTGACATTTTTTTCATCAGATTAGAGGGTCAGTCGTACATTCAGTATCGAGCGCTTCTCATCTCCCTCGGCCTCCACCTCTTCCTGCTGATGTTTGAGGTGCTCGCAGCTGACAACTTGGAGAACCATCGCCATGCTTGGGTATCTGTCTTCGCCCCGCTCATACTCATATCCATTGTGTCCATCGCAGCTTGTATTTGGGCTGTAAAACATGACCGATCTTTCGAGGTGAGTGTGTGATAATACTCATCATCTTCAGCATGATTTCTCCACCATCTGCTTTCATGGGGGTAGGGAGACACTTGGCTTGTAGGGGGAAGAGATACACAGGATGTGTCATAAGGGGTCAAGACACATAGCCTGTATAGGGAGGACATACAGGATGTATCCCCAGAAATATGCTGGAAAAGACAGCTAGGTTTATGCAAACTTTACCCATTGCTTTGAGAAAATAGGCACAATAGCACTAGGGCACTGCTTGATACCTGCTTGAGAGTGTCTGGGAGTTCTTCTACTCCCCAAGCCCGGCCTGAGACCAGGCTTGACTTGTGAGAGTTTGGTCCTCCAGGCTGTTGCTTGGAGCGGCCTGCAGGCCCACAGACCCACCACAGCCCGATTGGTCCGGAACTTCTTTTAGAAAACTGTCAAGTTTTCTCTTGAAGATGTACATGGTTGTTCTGGCAATATTTTTTATAGTTGCTGGGAGGACGTTGAACAACCACGGACCTCTGATGTTTATAGTGTTCTCTAATTGTGCCTATGGTCGAGGCCTGGTCGAGGACCGGGCCACGGGGACGCTAAGCCCCGAAACCATCTCAAGATAACCTCTAGAAGATGGCACCTTTGCTCTTCACTGGTTCTGTCCTGCATTTTCTTCCATATTGTTCACTCTAGGTACATTGTTATTTTACTGTATAGATTAAGGACCTGGCCCTCCAGAATTTTCCATGTGTATATTATTTGGTATCTCTCTCGTCTCCTTTCTAGCGAGTACATTTGGAGAGCTTTGAGACGGTCCCAATAATTTAGATGCTTTATCGCGTCTATGCGTGCCGTATATGTTCTCTGTATTCCCTCTATTTCAGTAATCTCTCCTGCTCAGAAGGGGGAAGTGAGTACTAAGCAGTACTCGAGACAGGACAACACAAGTGACTTGAGAGTACAACCATTGTGATGGGATTCCTGGATTTCAAAGTTCACGTAATCCATCCAATCATTTTTCTGGCTGACACAATATTTGCTTGGTTATGCTCCCTAAACGTTAGATCGTCGGACATCATTATTCCCAAATCCTTGACATGCTGTTTTCCTACTATGGGCAGATTCGATTGTGTTTTGTACCCTGTATTATGTTTCAGATCCTCATTTTTGCCATACCTGAGTACCTGGAATTTATCACTGTTAAACATCATGTTATTTTCTGCTGCCCAATCGAAAACTTTGTTGATATCTGCTTGTAATTTTTCAATGTCTTCAGCAGAGGTAATTTTCATGCTGATTTTTGTGTCATCTGCAAAGGATGACACGAAGCTGTAACTGGTATTTTTGTCTATATCTGATATGAGAATAAGGAACAGCAGTGGTGCAAGGACTGTATTCTCGGTCGGCACGAAACTGTGCCAACTGAGAAAACTGTTTTTGATTTTTCGGTACCCATTCTAAATGTGTGTGAGGTTGGTTGTGTACAAAATGGACTCTTAGGACCTCCAGTGGGAGGCAGCCATCTTGGAAAGAATTCCCAGAATGCCCTAGGGCTGCTGGCTGAGTTAGTATTGAGTGAGCAACCATGGGTAGCGCATGCGCCTCTGGCTCCCAAACACCTGTCCAACGCGGTGTTGAAAGATAACGCTCTGTCGGTGAAATTCAAACCTTATTGTTTGAAGAACATAAGGGTCATAATATTGGTAAAGCTAGGCGCAATAAGGACCTAACACAAAGGTCGGATGTAAGTGATTCAGCACCTATGAGGACAATACAGCGAGCGTATCCAGTTGTAGCTCTGAGCATCATCCTTGCCCACCCATGCTATCTCCAATTTATATCGATGATACATAGATGAATCATTTTCTGAGTTCAGTGATGATACATCTGATACAAGTAGCATAGATGAACAGTGTTAACGGCTTCCATGGTGGTGTTTTCCATAAATATTTTCAAGAATAGCTGAATTTCTTCCAGACTGACTGACACTCTTTTAAGGTTAGCTGAATCTCTTCCTGACTGACGGACACTCTTTGAGGCAAGCTGAATCTCTTCCTGTGTGGGACCTTACAAAGCGATCTTTTCAAGACTACCTTACAAATTGATCTTTTCCCATAATCTTTTCAATACTACCTTATGCTTTGCAAGTTTGGTTAAATACAACCTAAAAGTACTAAAGCCAAGGGTGTACGTGAGTGCGTCATTTGCAAGCACACAGAACGAAGAAACAGGAAGTGAAAATCGATTTGTACCTGGTGCAACGAGAGTGAAGTCGCGCTGTGTACCATGGACTACTTCATTGATTATTACTCACTTCCGAAGTACTGAATGTGTAATACAGTGTGTTACTGTGCAAATAGTGTGTGAAACTGTACATATTGTAATTTTAGTGAATTTTTAACAAGTAATATTGCGACAATAAACATATATTGTGGACACATTACTGACACATGTATCAGAGTTCCATGGACCATTATAAACGTTCTACTGTATACATATTGTAAAGGACACAAACATGCATCATATATGATAAAAAAACAAATAAAACCGCATTGGAAATACATAGCACAAATAATTGAAAATATAATTGTGGCAACACCTGGTGCTTGAATGGCCCGCGCGACTGTGTCTGGGAGCTTCACGCATGAGCGACCAGCCCCTGATGACATCACATCGCATCTTGTCCACGTCCCCACAGCCAAAGTATGTGGAATTTGGTATTTATTTTTACATAGACATGTTCAGGGAATGGAATTTATCATTTTATGAAGAAAATTTTTTTTTTTGTGGAACACTTTATTTCATGCGCACGGGGAATTTATTGCACAGGCAATAAACTCGGCACAGCACAGTGGTTAATCGTCTCTTTCTCTTTTACAACTTGCACATGTCTCTTTTATTTCTTCTTTATACTTTTCTAGTTCTTTATTAGCCTCCTCTATTTGACTTGCCAATAAAGTTTCTCGTTGCATTTCCTTGCCTAACTCCATGTTAGCCCTCAGGCTTCCTTGGAGTTGTTCACCATATGAGTCTATTTTCTTGTTTATTTCTTCAAATTCCCCACACTTCACTTTCCATACCTCATTATCCTTTACCAGTTCCTTGATGTGTGCCTCCTGTATCCTTACCTTATTAGTCAAGCTAGTAATTTCCTTATCTTGCTGGAAAATACTTACTTTTAAATTACAAAACTCAATCTTGAGACCTTCATTTTCTTGTTCTAATTTAATTACCTTTTCTTCATTATTCTTTAGCATGTCCTCAATAATCACTAACCTGCCAAGAAAACCACCTTTCATTGCATCTTGTTGTGAGAAACCTGCAAAACATTCATTTGTTGGGGTACTGTTTTCCCCTGTGGTGGTGGCCATCTTTGTTGACATTCAACAACAGTTGTTTTGAAAGATAAATTTTTCTACCCAATAAAAGATTTTTTGGGGGGCCAAGATTTTTCATTCACAGACAATTATTTCTTATCTCTTAGTTTCTTTTCAAATTCCCTACACCGTCATGTATTCTGGGACACCACTTGCAGCCCTCACCCTGCTCCCAACACTTAGATAATTTGAATTCTCCTAGAGCTTGCAGCAGTGTGATGCTCACTCCCCTCTCCCTTGTACACATTCCTGAGCTTCTCGAGCTCAGGAATGGTACACAGTCCACTCTGGTGTACACATTCCTGAGCTTCTCGAGCTCTTTCATTTCTAAGTTTAATCTTGTGTATGGTGTCAGCCTCCACCGCATCAGTACCTCCTGCATTCCGTTTCCTTACTTCTCTGCCATTGGACAAGATCTTTCTAATGTTGTTGTGGCTTCTTTGGGTACTCAGTTTCCACCTGTGTCCCATGATGGGTGTACCAACTGTGTTGCTTCATCCATTTTTTCTACCCTTTCTGTTTCCTTGAGGAATTGTGGGTGGTGGTCATGTCTCCTGGTCTTGTGTTCCTGGGGCAGTCTTGTCTTGTGTACAAGACTGTGGTACTTCTTTATATTATTACCTCAGTCTTGTGTTCACAGACTGTGGTAATTGTTTTATCTTTTCATTATTTTATTATGGATACCCCAATTTTGTGCCTAAAAACCATGCCCTGTAATGCTCATCCAGCTCCCAAGTTTCCAGCGCTCGGTATCCTGTCTGTATTCTGGCCCCTTTAGACGTGGAGCTAAATTTTATAAAAAAAAATCTGCATAGGTTCAAGAGGCCCTTGATGCATACCTCCTGTGAGACCCAGTTTATGCCTCTGTGTTGAATCCGGTTTGAGTTTGGTTTCATTTCCATTGATTAGTTGCGTTCTGAGGTTTCGGTGTCTTCCTGCTGGCAGCCTGCTTTGACGACTGGTAGGAGTAGGCTCCCTGCCAGTCTGCTTGTCTGCTAGTCAGGGTTCTGGTTCTTTCCCGGCTTGCAGGGTTCGGGTTCCTGGTAACTTGGCGGAAGTCACAGTTGGTTCCCTTCCTACTTCAGACTTGGCTGGGGCCTAGTGGGGGGTTCTCAGACTGCGTCCATTTCTCTCCCTCTTGCGGCTTTGCTCCGGTAGCATTACCACCTTCAGCTGTCTTTGATGGGGTTCAGGGTCACTCAGAGGTTGTTCGAGCAGCTGTGCAGGAGGTTGTATTTTGCTCCGCTGGTTTACCCGATGGGCAGGATTTCACTTTGGAGGCTGTTCTGGTATCTTCGGAGCGGTTTTCAGCAGGTTGGGCCGGTGAGGTACCTTGTTGGTTCGCCTTACTGGTCTGCGCTACGTGTCTGGCATTTCTGGCACACATGTATCGCCATGGGTATGGTGATCAGGTGGCTTCTTTGATGGTGTCCCACCTGTGGTCTTCTTCTCAGTGACTGTATGAAGTTTCCTGGCTGTCTTTCCCTCTTTTTCTTTCTCTGCATCAGTTTCGGACCTGGTTGCTTTGTTCATTGTTTCTTTTGTGGCTTTTTCTTGATCGGCGTCTCATGCCTAATATGGTCGCTTCTTGCTGTGCTGCGTTGGAGGAAATGCTGCAGCTTGCATTCAGGGTGGTTGTCACTTCCGCTCCGTTCTGAAACATCTCTCGTGCGTTTTTTCACCTCCGGCCTGTTTATGCGCCATCTGAGTCTTCTTGGTTTTGGACTGGGCTCTTTCCTATCTTTCTTCTTGCTTTGTGGTGGCTCACTTCGGTTCATGATTGCTTTTGGTAGGCTTTGGTTTTGTTGGCCTTGGCCTCTGGGGATCGGATTATGGAGTGTCATGCTCTTCTCTGATGCCGTGGGTTCTGTACTTTTAGTCCATATGGTCATTTTGTTAATTTGCAGCCTTCTCTTTCTTTTCTGGTTAAGATTGATGGCAGGCTTCCAGAGGAGTCCGTTGGTAGTGGATGCTTCAGGGAGCCTCTGGGTTTCACCCAGAAAATGGTGTTTCATTACATTCAATGCTGAGTTTTTTCACCGCTGTTTATGAAATAAAGTCTAAATAGGGTCTCTGTCGTAGCACTAAAAGAACCATCATGCAAAGATTCAAGAACTATTCCTAATGGATAATAAAAATTTTGCTGTATGTGATATTTTTCTGGTGGAATTGCTTGCTCTTTAACCAAGTACTGTTTTGTTTTCTCCTCTCAGCTGGAGCTCTTCTGCTCGGTGAATCTACTTCAGTTTATCTTTATTGCTCTGCGGCTCGACAAGTACATCAGGTGGCCTTGGGAGGTGAGTCTTTGTATTTGTACGAGTCATAGACTTTACATTTACCAATCATTAAATTTAGTGACACATAAGATCTTTGTCCTCATATCTCTTTCAAGTGCTATTTAGTCGTAATGGCTCAGCACTTTCTTTTGATAATTCCCTTAACCCTTACTATGTGCAAATCATCTATACAAATAAAAATGTAAATATTTGTTTGTTCAAAATTGCTAATCTCTGAAAGTTCTTCACCGATTGCTTTGAAATTTTGACAAAACTTTCACATCTGAGTGTGTTTTTATATACCTAATATATAAATGTCATGTTTGTGACAGATAAAAACTTGCTTTTTCTGGAAGGGGGGGGGAGGACTCTACAGCTCCCCGGAGCTATCCAGGCTGATATGAATATCCCTAACTTTGGCATCAGTCGATGTGGGTGAGTTCTAGGTCTACCAGAGACCACAAGCCAGAACCTGGCCCCCTCAGAGAGGCATGAGGAGCAATGGCCTGTAGAAATGCACATGTGAATTTGGAGCTGCATCGACCGGGACAGGCACCCAGAAAGGTAAGCGCCCCTATACTGGTTAAAACGATGAAAATAGACAAACGAGTGAACAGAACTTCCCAAATGTAAACGAGCAAACAAACATGATGTCACACGAGCTGCGCCACATGTCTGCCAAGCTCCCCCCTCCCCGGAAGAGGGAAGGGGGGAGCCCCAGATCCCAGTGCTGGTGATCCATACCCCCAGTTCTTCAGCTGGTGTGATATGGCACGGTCATGTGGCTCCAGCTTCGGATTCTTGTGTTGTGCTGTTCTCTGTTTCAGTACTGCTCTTATGGTGGCATGCGAGCTGGGAGTAATATTCACAGGTACTCGGGCTGCATGAGCTTAGGGTTCCCTTCCACAAGTCACCTTAGGTCTACCTCTGTTGATCTTTCACTGCTTGGCGATTGATTGCCCCGAGTATTTTGGTGGTGATGGGGGTGGGGGATATCTCCCTAGTTTGCCTTGGGGTAAGTGGTAGTTCTTGCACTGGTAGGGGCACAGGGTACTGCGCAGCTAGTTTTCACCTATAACAGCGGCTGGCTCTGTTCCCTCTGGGCATGCTGTCCTCTTGCGAGGTTTTTCTTTTCTTTTGTTTTGCCTGGTGGGGGGTTGAGGGTATGCCATGGTGTTTCTTCCCCTTTATACTAGGGTTGTTTGTGTTTGGTGGTACCCCCTGCCTTGCCCTCGTGAGTGGACACGTCCCGGGGGTTCAGCACTAGCAAGAGTTGATTGGTAGCTTGGGCACCGGTTAGCAGTACCCTGCCTGGGATAACCCTTAGCAGGCCCAGTCTAGGGGCTCTGCAAAACCCCGCGGGTGCGCTTGGGTCCAATGGTAGTGACCCCTGAGTCCCCTCTCGCTTTTTGTGAGTTTGAGGGTTGCTCTGTCCCCTTGTCTCAGGGTGATGCTCATTGTTTTTGCCTCCATCATACCACCTGTTGGGTCGGTGACACATTCAACCCAGAATCCTGTGAGCTTTGTTGCTCGTATGTGACTCGGTTCACCCAATCTGATGATGACATTATTCGGGTGCAGGCGGCTCACACATTGTAAAATAGGTTTAGGTTGTTGCAGCTCACTAGGTTGCTTGCTTCCCCAGATGCCCCAAGGCTGCCCCGTTTTGTTTATAGGGACCCGGACCTGGGGGTGTTGGTCGCTTTAGCCTTGGTTCCATCCGCACCCCCTCGTACTTCCCCTGCTGTGGTTCATTAGGTCCCCTCACCCCCCCACCCCCAGCTTCCGGCTCTTAATTAATTAACACTTTGGCTCGGTAACGACGCAGCATTGCGTCGTTCTTGTACTCGGGGGTAGTCTGGTAACGACGCAGCATTGCATCATTACCGGCGGCAAATTGTCGGCGGCTTCGGGAGGGGCACGCAGCGGTTTTGGACATTATATGCATACTGTATACACCTGTACGGAGTTTCATTGCGAATACATTGATATCAAAATGAAAGACCTAGGGCCAGAATTGAGGTAACATAGTTGAAAACAGTAAACCCATTTTATTGCTCTTTATTAGCGCTCACAGCGGTAACGCACCGTCGATTGATTGATTGATGAAGATTAAGCCACCCAAAAGGTGGCACGGGCATGAATAGCCCGTAAGTGGTGGCCCTTTTGAGCCATTACCAGTATCTAGAGCTGATACTGGAGATCTGTGGAGATGCGAATGCACCCTGCGTGACGGGAGATGTCTCCCTTGTTAATGTGTTAAGATGAAGCCACCCAAAAGGTGGCTCGGGCATGAGTAGCTCGTAAGTGGTGGCCTTTTTGAGCCATCACCAATATCAATAGATGATACTGGAGATCTGTGGAGGCGTGACTGCACCCTGCGTGACGGGAGATGTCTCCCCAACGCACCGTCACGTTCTCTGTTTGCTGTGGGTGGGATGCCGGGCCTTTGGATTTTATATTTGCATATACTCCTGTAGGGAATTCTATTGCAAACACAATGACACCAAAATGAAAGACCTAGGACGAGAATTGAGATGTCCAAAGTGAAGAGAGTGTACACATATTATTGCGCTTGCGCACTCCCAGGTAACACGCTCTCACTTTCTCGCCTGGCTTCTGGGCTTTATATGCATTTAGTCCTGTAGAAAATTCTATTGCAAACACATTGATACCAAATTGAAAAATCTAGGATGAGAATTGAGATGGCAAAGTTGAAAAGAGTATACACATTTCGGTATGACCGCGCTCTCTGTTGTAATGAGAGACGCCTTGGGGTGGTGCAGTGCTCTCTTTCTTATAACTTTCATCTTATCGGCGGGTGGAGCGCGCCGCTGTTTTTGACATTATATGCATATACTCCTGTTGGGAATTCTATTGCAAACACATTGATGCCAAAATGAAAGACCTAGAACGAGAATTGAGGTAACCAAAGTGAAAAGATTGTACACATTTTATCGCTCTTGCGCGTTCCTGGGTGACACGCTCTCACTCTCTCTGTTTGTAGCGGATGGTATGCAGGGCATTTGGACTTTATATGCCTTTAGTCTTGTAGAGAATTCTATTGCAAACACAATGATACCAAATTGAAAAACCTAGGACGAGAATTAAGGTAACAAAGTTGAAAAGAGCATACACTTTTCAGAATTACCACGCACTCCTGCGGAATGCCCAAACTCACCCGGGGTAGTGCGTGCACCCGCACCCATGCATCAAAGCATTTGATATGCTCAGCTAAGTGAGCACAATCTGAGAGCTGAGTGAGCACATCTGAGGGCTTCGGGGTTGGGGCAGGGTTTAGAGGTTTCTGAGACTCGGCAGTTTTGGGGGTTGCCACTTCTGGGGCGGCTGCGTAGGCATTCGAGTCCGTTCTTCCAGCCGTAGCTACGGGGTCTGACCAGTGGGTCCATCCTCTGCCTGCTATCCTGGCTGCTCCAGCTTTTTCTTGTGAGGTCGGGGCTTTGGGGGGACGACTCGCCCCTGTGGCCTGACGTGAAAGTTCCCGGGGCTGGGGAGGAGCTGACTTGGGGGCCCTTGGGCCCCGTTGGACCCCCACTTAGGTTTTTCAACCCTCCAAGTGGAGCTTGCTGTTACAAGGAGTGGGGTTTACCTTTCTCCCCTCTGCGGACGAGTTGGATTTGGGTTCAGCTTCTTCCCGGTTCGGTTCCGTGTCCCTGCAGGTCCTTCAGATCTGTCCTTCTGAAGGTTTTCGGCTTCCTGCATCTCTCCGACTGAGGTGCGGGCGGCCATTGCAGCTTGCCTCCACTTGGTGTATGCCTCTATAATGGATCTGTCTTCCTTCAGGTTTGGGTCTTCGTCTCCATTATGGTTTTGTTATGAGGTTCCGGAGTCTTCCTGGCTTGCGGATTGCTCTATGTTTTCGCTGGATGCTTGGGACATCTTCTGTTGTACCCTCACACTTGAATGGCATTAGGCGTTGACTGTGGTCCAGGTTTACCTGGGGGCAATTTTGCACACCTTAACGAGTGCGTTTTCACTCCGGCTCTTCTGCGGGATGTTGGCGCGGTTCAGCTTCATGTGCAGATTCTCTCCCTGTCGGCTGCGCTTGTGGCTGAGGACTTGCTCTCTCGAGGCTCGTCGGCTTCAGTCCTGTGTTTCTTTTAACCTCCTAGAGCTGTCTTCCGATTGACTTACGGAGGATGTAGAGGCACTTGAGGTCATTTAAATAAAAAATTTTCTTAGAAAATTTGAAAGGAATGTTCAACTTTCATCTGCCTGTCAGCCATTTGCAATGCGTGAATGACAACAACACCAGAGCACTGTGATGGTGCGCTACTGTCGGGTGTGCCGCCCTAGTGGCCTGATGCAGCAACAAAACATCACATCCAGAAATGCAAGGTTTACATCCTGTATTTATTTATTTAGTTCTTTGTACAGCCACTAGTACGCATAGCGTTTTGGGCAAGCTCTTAATCCTATGTTCCCTGGAATACGACCCCGCGAAAAATCATTTAACAACCAGGTACCCATTTTACGGTTGAGTTAAACAGAGGCTACAGTTAAGGATTTGCTCCCAGTAAATCATCTCCAGCCAGGATACGAACTCAGGATAAAGCACTCGCGATACGCCAGGTGAGCGTCTTAACCACTACACCACGGAGACTGTATGACTGTATTGTATAGCAATGCACTTGCCCAAAATATAATCAACTACACCACAGCTGATCTTAGAGCAGGTAAGAGTTTTGGTATAAAATCCACTTTAAAATATCTTTCAATAAATGTATGATGAAACATACTAAAATCGTTTTTTTCACAAAATATCCTTCTTAAATACGGATACGTCCTATGCGAGGGTGCATATTTTACACCGGAAAATACGGTAGTTAAAAACAAATCTGAAGTTGGCAAACAATGCATATGCTTCTCTCACAATGTTCTTTGTGTGTTCCTCTGTTGACAGTCTACTATCCAAAATCACCCATACAATATAATGTGCACCATTAAAATAACAACATTTTTGTCCAATTTTTCAGATTGTGTTTGTGCCAGCATGGATTCTGATGTGTGTGTCTGTTGTGGCAGTACTGTACTCTATTGTATTCGCCGGCCTGCTTCTGCGGATGCCCGATGTAAACCCTGACCGCCGCCGCACCTCCATGAACTCTGCAGTTGGCTACACCTGCCTTGTAGCTCCACTTCTCATATTCCTTGTGAGATATTAAGTTGTTTTCATTAGACACACACACACACAGTACTGATTGTGCTCACTTATATGAGCACAATCAGTACGATGTGTGCCATTCCGTGACAGTTACTCCCATTGTATATGTATGTATTGCGCCATTTAAGGGTTAAACTGAGTCTATCCTCTCCTGTGGGGCAGGCTGCGAATTTTTTTCAAGATGGTGGATGGAGGCCTAAAGTCTCCAACTAATTCTCAACTTACTGCACATGAGTTTTAACTCTTTTTGATATACAGTACCTTTATTGACAAATGTGATATGTTGGTCCACCCATCAACTGTGATATCACAGTTTGTGCAGTGCAGTGGTTGTTTCCAAATCTATCCTCATTATCATCTTGTATATATGAAAATTAGGAACTTGCAGTTTTATCTGACCTAATATACTAAAAGATGTTTAACCTATCTTATATCTGTTTGTCTCTTTCATATTTGCATATGTAAAACAGACAATATTGCATTTGATGCTATATTGCAAAAGCATTTTTAATTTTTGGTTTAGCTTTATGCCAGACTTTGTGATTGTTTTATGAGCTAGGAGTGGCCAAGCATTGATGTCTTCATCCTATGCACTACACTCTTTTAAAATTGCCAGCTTGAATTTAAATGTAAATGTAAATGTTTCCTGATCATTGCATATATACTTATCATCATTATTCTCACCCCATTGCCTGCTCTAAAATCAGATTATATTTTTTCTACTTACCATTTAGATACATCATTTGTCTTGCAGGTCTATTTTATTTTGCCTCATGAATTCCTTCATCATTTGTTATTTATGAATAGTACTGGTTTTACTGTCTTTAAATTTTTCAGATCACCCTAGCCAGTAAGATGAATGGCAACACGTCGGCCACATATACATCCGTGGTGTCACCCCTCTACATCTCCTATGTCACACTTGTTCTAATGTCCTTCACCACAAAACGAGCCAACCAATGTAAGTTTCCGTGTTTCAAGGTGTTACTGTTTGCTGGCAGTTCACCTGCTTCCTGTGCCTCGGCTCTAGTTTTCATAGAATGCAGACACCTTGTCAGGGGTCTTAGTTTCCTTACACCTAATAACAAGTACCTTTTCATGCCATCTTGTCTACCTAACAAGGAAAAGGTTACTTAGTGGAGAGCATACTTCAATTCATTCCTGTTCACTGTAACATACAGAAATCCATTAAAAAACTAAAATTCTCTTCAGATAATCTTTGACGTCTCAAAAGTCAGAAAGGATTGTTCTGAAACACCAACTCTCCATGATCCCAAGTATCCCGACTGCAACTAGTTGATAGCACTTACATATAATGTCTCCACTCGCTAATCCGGACTACTGTATATGGGAAAGACCCCCAGCCGGATTATCATGTTTTCTGGATTAACATACTTTTTCACCTCTGAGTCCAAAAGTGACCATTTCCAACTATTTTTATATCACAAACAACATAATTTGAATTGCCTTGCCACATATAATTATAAAATATTCAGCTAGAAACCTCAACTTACCTTGTTGTTGTTCGTCTTGTTGATTGATGCCATACATCTTGAAATTAAGAATTCTTGACAATTTACGTAACCTATACTAACACAAAACTAAAATTAACACTTAAAATTATTGTACAGTTCATTAAACAAAGTTAGTTTTGACTGCCAGCCTCACTGGTTGAAGGCACTTGGGTTACCTGTGAGGCCTCACTGATTGAAGGCGCTTGGCTTGCCTCTGACTCCTCACTGGTTGAAACCGCTTGGCTTGCCTCTGACACCTCACAGGTTGAAGGCGCTTGGCTTCTTGAGGTTATCTTGAGATGATTTCGGGGATTTAGTGTCCCCGTGGCCCGGTCCTCGACCAGGCCTCCACCCCCAGGAAGCAGCCCATGACAGCTGACTAACACCCAGGTACCTATTTTACTGCTAGGTAACAGGGGCAAAGGGTGAAAGAAACTCTGCCCATTGTTTCTCACCGGCGCCCAGGATTGAACCCGGGACCACAGGATCACAAGTCCAGCGTGCTGTCCGCTCGGCCGACCGGTTTGCCTGTGACTCCTCACTGGTTGAAGGCGCTTGGCTTGCCTGTGACGCCTCACTGGTTGAAACCGCTTGGCTTGCCTTGCCTGTGACACCTCACTGGTTGAAGGCACTTGGCTTGCCTGTGACTCCTCACTGGTTGAAGGTGCTTGGCTTGCCTGTGACACCTCACTGGTTGAAGGCACTTTGCTTGCTTTTCTTACCCTATAAGAATCAAGTTTAGCTTGCCTTCTGTGTCGACCAGCCACTTTCACAAAGTTGTATAACACGTAACTCGTCTTTAATTGTTAGGGTAACCTTCTTCCTCTTAACACCTCCAGAACGATTGATACTGCTACCAGACATAGTCTTGGCCAAAAATGTTCAAAGTTTCTATGATAACAAAAAAGTTATTTAAAAAAATATTTCACTAATGGCATTTCACTATGGTATAATGTGAGGGACGGGAGCACATACCTGGTTGATGGGGTTCTGGGAGTTCTGCTCCCCAAGCCCGGCCCGAGGCCAGGCTTGACTTGTGAGAGTTTGGTCCACTAGGCTGTTGCTTGGAGTAGCCCGCAGGCCCATATACCCACCACAGCTCGGTTGGTCCGGCACTCCTTGGAGGAAACAATTTAGTTTCCTCTTGAAGATGTCCACTGTTGTTCCGGCAATATTTCTTATGCTCGCTGGGAGGGTATTGAACAACCGTGGACCTCTGATGTTCATACAGTGTTCTCTGATTGTGCCTATGGCACCTCTGCTCTTCACTGGTTCTATTCTGCATTTTCTTCCATATTGTTCACTCCACTACGTTGTTATTTTACTGTGTAGATTTGGGATCTGGCCCTCCAATATTTTCCATGGTTATATTATTTGGTATCTCTCTTGTCTCTTTTTTAGTGAGTACATTTAATTGGGCTGTTTGGGCTTGACCATGGGCTTGAACATGGGCTGTTTGGCTTGACCAGGCCCGGATGGGTCCACTTGGAGACAGGCACGTTATGTAGGCTGCCAGGCGGAAAAACTCAATATTTTTTAAGCAAACTTCAGCGTCTGCAAATTGTTTTTAGGAAATTTGTATATTTGTTATTACATAATTATTTCTTTTGTTTTTGACTGTGATGAATTGTTCTAAAATTAATGGTAATTCCTGTACTGTAGTATGTAGGCCCTCCACATCCCCCCTTCTCATCCAGGCGGTCCCTCCCAACGCTCCCCCTCTCTCTCGACACCACCCACCCACCCCACCCCCTCCTACACCATGCGCCTAGAGCCACAGCCTTACGGGATTAATATGGTATGGCTTTAGACGCCTCAAAACTGGGATGTGAATCGCCGGCGTGGGGGTCTGGGGCTCCCCCTTCCCCCTTCCCGGGGAGGGAGGAGCTGCGCAGACAGTGGTGATGTCATGCTAGTTTGCGCGTTTCTTTTTGGGGAGTTCTATCAACTAGTTTGGCGTTAGCTACAATTTTTACCAGAATAGGGGTTTGTTTTGGGACGCTTACCTTTCTGGGTGCCTGACCCAGTCGATGGCAGACATAGAATGCTTCCAACCACACGGGGGTTGCTATAGGCAATTGCTCCCCATGCCTCTCTGACAGGTCAGGTTCTGGCTCATGGTCCCCAGTAGGCCCACAGAACTCCATACACATGACTGATGCCAAATTCTTACATTAGCCTATCAGCCTGGATAAGCTCTGGGAAGCCTCCGGGTCTCACCCAGAAAATGCCGTTTCATTACCTTCAATGCTGGTATTTTATACCATATTGTTTGTAAGTACTCTATCAAATATCATAGTGAAAATGAAGAATTCATAATAAATGGATTTTTTTTTAATATTTATATCGAGACTGATACAGTTGGCTCGTGGAAATCATGGCCATTACATCATGTTTGTGGTCACCAATAATAGTCACATAGTTATGATTTTGATATGGAATGGTTCACCAGTGAGTGTTCTATTTTGTGCCATGCTCAAAATGATAAATACGTAACAAATAGATTTTCTGTGATTTTTTTGTGATTTTATAGTGGATGTAGGAACTCTTCTTTTTACATGGAGAGGAGGGATAGCCTGGGGCTGACAGGTAGAATAAATTCCACGGGAGAACGAATCAGCCTCACCCCATAAAGTTCATTCATTTTCATCATTTGCAAACAGTATTACTGTTTGCAATGATAGTATTGGAACCTTAACTGACTTATCTCTTCCAGGGTGGTTTGGCCTGAGAAAGGATCTGTGTCAATTTCTTCTGGGAGTGTGTCCGCTCCTGCAGGAATATGCCAATATCTCATACAGCATCCCTCATGTGGAGGATGGACAGATGGATAATCGCAGTCTACCATCAGCTGAGGCTGGGATTATCACCACTGAGAAAAAGGATGTTGTGTCGTCTTCTCGTAGGCTTGAGCATCGTGTAGTAGTGCCTGCTGTCAGTCTTGAAGTGCCAGATTAAACAGTGGAGCCTTGTATTTAGTGATACAAAAGTTTATTTCATTATTGTCTTTTGGTTTTAATGTTGGTAAGTTTCATCATGATTTATAAGAGATATATATCTAAAAATATCTTCAACTTGAGATTTTTATTGTACCAAACAATTATTAGTTGTGAAAAACATATTTTGTACTTCCCAAATATGTGGTCATTTTCATAACAGTAAGAATGTAATTAGTTAATAAGCATAATGATGAGGATATTCAAGCAATAATCTGTTTATGTTCCTATGCACCACAACATTTGTGGTTAAACTTTGGAAAACATTTTGCCTCAGGTGATTATATCTGTCTCAAGCTACCTATAATAGCAAGTTAGCTGTTATTTTTTTTTGTTTGCAAGCATTTTGTCACAGCATGCAAAAATAAAATAAAATTTGCCAAAGAGTCTTTTATACTAGCTTTTGTAATGAGGTAATCTGTACTCAAATCATGGGTAAGGTTGAAAGACTGAGCACTGTTCCTTCAATCCATTCTCTCCTTTGCAACCAGCAGTAATTGGTGACCTGGATGTAAAACTGTTAGACGATGATATTCTGTGGAAAACATGGTACTGAATAACTTGACTCGTTACCTAAATCTCAACATAACAAAAAGTAAAGAGGTGTGAAAATATATAGCAAGGGCAAACCACATGCCAAGGGAGGTGCAGACAGAGCCCTTGCAGAGTGAACAAACATCCCCAGCTCTGAAATGCATAGAGGTAAAATTCCAGGGCTTACCTATCTGTTAAAGATTCTGGGAATCAATGTCCCCATGGCTTGGTCTCTGACCAGGCCTCCTGGTTGCTGGTCTCATCCACCAGACTGATGCAGCTACTTGTGGCCTGATGTGTGAGTCATAGCCTGGTTAATAAGGTATCCTTTGAAGGTGCTTGTTGAGGTCTCTCTCTCTCTGAATACTGCGATTGGTCAGCCAGTTATGCCCCCGTATGTGTATGGGAAGATTATTGAAAAGTCTCGGGCCTTTGGTGTTGATTGAGTTCTCTCTCAGCATGCCTACTTCACCTCTGCTCATCAGTGGGGCTATTTTGCACATCTTGCCATACCTTCTGGTCTCATGTGGTCTTACTTCTGTGTGCAGATTTGGAACCAGTCCTTCTAATATTTTCCAAGTGTAGATTGCTATGTATCTGTCCTGCCTGTGCTCTTGGGAATACAGATTTAAAACTTTAAGGTGGTCCCAAGAATTTAAATGTTTTACCGAGTGGATTCTAGTGGTAAAAGCATTCAAACAACCACCATGTTGCTAACTCGAAAAGAGAAAAATAAAAGTGGCAGCTGCATGGTAAGCCCCAAAAAGAGAGAGACTGAAAGAGAATAAAGAAGAGAGAGTGCAAAGAGTACGAATCTGAGCCATAGATGTCATAGACCCAACAGGCAACTAGGCAGAAGCAGAGAATGACTGCTGGCTAGTAGCAGAATCGATAAGCATCCTACAAACTCACATGTAATGAGTGCAAACTCAATGAGTTGAGATCAAAACAAGCCCTGTGATACCAGGGCCTGTAGGTAACTAGCCATGCAAGACATCATGAACCATGGACACTTGCCAGAAGAAGACATGAAACACATCCACAATCTATAGGGTTGTGCAGGGTGGCCACATCATGCTGTACATACAAATGTGTGAACTCCAGTGCACCCTAATCCAACCAAAATGAATACCCATAATATGGGCTTAAACAGCGGAGCCAAATGCTCTTGAAAAATCTGAGGTAAGACCTTTGCTCTGGTGGCCTGGCACACGAAAGGGCAAACACCTGAACACACCAGAGAAGTAACTGTCAGTGCAGGGGAAGCACTAGCAGGCATCCAGGAAAGGAAACCCTGAGCACATGCAGCCCGAAGCACCAAATGAACCAAGTTAACACAACATACCAGATAGTAAATACGCTCGTGAAACAAATACTAAAAATGTAAACAATAGACAAGCAAATGGCCACTGCAGGACAAAGTCCAAGGATGACTGGCACTCAACATAGAAACACGGGGGACCTGCTGTTACTAATAGTGACCCCATATGCACTACAGTGGTGTGCATAGCACCACATCAGCGACAGAACTGTCTTTGGAGAGGTGATGGGAAGCCGGGATTCCGTGCCCTTCTAGTGACGGTTTGTTGATACAGTACTAAGGGTTTGAGCTAGTTTTGATTGATTTGATAATTTTCCTTGAATTGGTTTAAGATTTGTTTGGCGGGTTTCAAGTCTTCAGTTTCTGTGAAGTTTCCAGTTACAGTATCTGAAATGCTTCTCTGACTTTCTGGACGCTTTCCCAGTGGGGTATCACCTGCCCTCTGCACCTCTGTGACAGGGCCCAGGTTCTGGCTCTGGTCTACAGTAGGGGAAACAGAACTAAAATGACTAATGTGATCTAATAGATAGGAGCAAACTCAGCAAGATAGCTTTAGGTAGCCACCAAGAGGTAGCCATCAGAAATATATTTTTGCCAAGTGTTTTATTCTTTTTCTTGACTTCTTACTGGTCAGTTCATATTATATTCCATTTGTGTTAGTGTATATGCCAATATTTGTAAGATACTTTGTGATAGTTATTGAGAATAGTTCTGATTTAAATACTGTACAGTATTTGCAATTTACACAATATGTAAATGTATTCATAGTTCAAAATTATGTAAAGCTGTATCATTGTATAATATACTTTGCAAATGATGCAATAGAAACATTATGTACAATTGTTGGCTTTTTTTATTGAATTTTGATATCCTAAAGAAAAAAGTTGATCCCCAATTCTGTTTAACACATTTCATCACACTCCCACTCCATTGCCCTCTTTAAGGATGGGTCTAAGTCTGCCTATGGTGTAGGCTACTCCCTTGTCTTTCCTGACCACACCTATATGCGTCGCCTGCCACCGGAGATTAGCATCTTCAGGGCAGAACTTTATGCAATCTTGTATGCACTTCATCAACTGCTTTCTCGCCATTAACGTTCCTTAGTCATTGTAATTACCTAAGTGTAGTTACAGGGTCAGAGCTACGCTCATGGTGTCTCATCTTCCCAGTACTCTTTGTCAAATAACAATTTGAAACTTCTGATGGTTTTGCCTTCACCATCACCTCACTTAGCTTGTTCCAACCATCTACCACTGTTTACAAAAGAAAGTTTTTTAATATTTTTTGGTAATGTACTTTGTTTCCTTAGATTGAATCTGTGTTCTTTTGTTCTTGAAGTTGCTGGTTTCAGGAATTCCTCTTTGTCAAGTTAGTTGATTCCTGTTATTATTTTGTAAGTAGTGATAGTATCACTTGTTGTATTTCTTCAGTTTTTTAGCTTTGGCATATTTAATAACTATAGCCTCTCCTCGTAACTCTTGTTTTCAGTTCCGAAAGCCATTTTGCAGCATACCTTTGCACCTTTTCCAGTTTAATCATGTGCTGCTTGAGATATGGGCACCATACAACTGCTGGATATTTCAATTTTGGCCTCAGAAAAGTCATGAACAGTTTCTTTAGTATTTCACCATCTATGTAATTAATAACCACTGCACGCACAGAGTACCTCCAGGCGCTAGATAGGGGGTGCGCAGAGCGCCTCAGGGTGCTCGTAGGTATAGTGTAGGATTCAAAACTCCCACTGTTACACGGGGTTCACATCAGCTTCCTCAGAGCTTTTGTAAACAGACGCCATTTAAAAAAAAATGGTAGGCAACATTCTCAGGTGTGAGATCCTCAGTACTGAGTGAACAACCAAGGCTGGCACACGCAGCATGAGCTAACAGCACTGCTGTTCAGCTTGTGACCACAGCATCGCCTAAAAATATCAAAATATATATGTAACTGGCATTATTTAGCCATAATAGTATTACAGAAGAGCCTGACTGTGATAAAGACTGTACAATGTTCAGATATCAGTGAACACAATGCTGTTCAAGATGCTCACAGCGTTAACCACAGCACATTGCCATTGTTTCATCCATCTAAGAATCTTCAAACGACTTGTGTTCCGTTATAAAATAAACTTGTGGAAAATTATTCATTTACAGGATTTAGTGACCCAGGATTCTGATAATAGCAGGATTGTGGTGAGAATTAGCAATGTGTGTAGTATGGTGGAAGGTAGCGTCATCTGCTGACTCTGTGTGGTGACTTCTGTTATTGTCTGGACTCACCATACCAGCTTAGTGGTTCACTATGATGAACGCAAATGTAGATATAACATGTGTATATATAGTAGTGTAATAACAGCAAAAGGAGTATGTTGGGAGGAGCCAATTTGGTGAGGGAGGTGGCGTCGTCTGCTGGCGTCATCTGCTGGCTGGTATGTGACTTGTCATGTAGTGTTTGGTGGCCACTAAACTGTTTGGACACCATACCAGCTTAGTTGTATAATTATGGTGAATAAAACAAGTAGATGCTGTAGAAACTCGCTAATCTAGGATCCGCCAATCCAAAAAATGCCCTAATCTGGCAAAAATCTTGACCGGATAGTTATTTCCTTATCCGGCCAAAATGTCCACAGAAGCTAACTCGTGGATATTTGGCTAGATCAGGGTATACTGTTAGAGTTCAAATCTGAGCCAGTTAACTTGCTACCAATGTTGCCCAATCCAGACAGTAAGCCGGACAAGCGGAGATTATTCCGAATCAGAAAGGATTTCCAAGCCAGTGAAGAGTCATTGGCAAGGTTCAAAACGAGGCACAATATTGTGAAGAAGAAAATTGTTGGTGAAAAATTGAGTGCAGATACAAGCAGTGTAGAACCATTTAAACATAAATTTTTTGCAATTTTGAAATTGCCCTTACAGGCAATCCAAGCGCCTTCAACCAGTGAGGCCTCACAGGCAAGCCAAGTGCCTTCAACCAGTGAGGCCTAAGAGGCAAGCCAAGTGCCTTCAGTGAGGCCTCACAGGCAAGCCAAGTGCTTTCAACCAGTGAGGCTTCAGCAGCTGGCAGTCAAAACTGACCTTGCTTCATGAACTGTACAGTAATTTTAAGTGTTAATTTTAGTGTTGTGTAAAAATAGGTTACGTAAATTGTCAAGAATTCTTAACTTCAAGGTGTGTAGCATCAATCAAGAAGACGAACTACAACAAGGTAAGTTGAGATTTCTGGTTGAATATTTAATAATTATATGTGACAATTCAATTATGTTGTTTGTGATATAAAAATTTTTGGAAATGTTCACTTTTCTCCTCTTTCTCATCTACATTAATGACCTTCCAAATGCCTCTCAACACCTCAAACCAAATGCCTCTCAAACCAATCTTATTTGCTGATGACACAACTTTCATTTTCTCCAGTCCTGACCCTCTTGCTCTAAATGTCACTGTGAATACTGAACTAAATAAAGTCCATCTTTGGCTAACTGCTAACAATCTCACCCTTAACATTGACAAAACTTTCTATATTTTGCTTGGTAATAAATCCTCAAATGAAATTAATCTAAGAATAAACAATATATAAATCAGTAGTAAAGTTGATGGTAAATCCCTTGGTGTCCTCATCAATAACAAGCTGAATTTCCAGGGACACATTCTAAATATAGCAAAAAAAGTTTCTAAAACTGTTGGCATTCTTTCTAAAATCAGATATTATGTACCTTGCCCTGCCCTGGTGATGCTCTATTACTCTCTCATCTATCCTTATCTCAACTATGGTATTTGTGCTTGGGGTTCTACTACCCAAAATCATTTACGTCCTCTAATTATCCAACACAAAGCTGCTATTAGAACAATATCTAACTCTGGCCCCAGACAGCACTCGGTACCCTTACTCAAATCTCTGAACATGTTAGATATTATGTCACTGCACATCCTCTCATGTCTACACTATATATTTAAAACTCTGAACTGTAATGTCAATCCTGACCTTAAAAGCTTCTTAGAGGGTTGTAACAGAACCCATGGGCACCACACCAGAAACAAATACCTATTTGATATTCCAAGAGTACGACTTAATCAAACTAGAAATGCTCTACAAATCAAGGGACCCAGAATGTGGAATGACCTTCCCAATCATGTCAACCAGTTTAAGATGAAAACTAAGTACAATGGGGCCTCGACTTACGATGCTAATCTGTTTCCAGAGACGGATCGTAAGTTGAAATATCGTAAGTCGAAGCGATTTTTCCCATAAGAAATACGTAAAGGGATTTGAATTAATCCGTTCCCCACCCTCCAAAATATTAACATACAAATACATTTTATACTGAATACAATGTTTTCTCTAACAACAATACAGTACCTAAGTTTATCTTACCTTTATGGAGGGCTCTTGATGGCATATGGAAGATGGTGATGAGGGGGGAGGAGGAGAGGTGTTACTGTTTGGAAGGGGAGTCCCCTTCCATTATCACATCAGGCAGTGATGTTTTCTCTGGGGTACTCTCTCTCATACGTTTTGCCTGAATACCACTAGGACCTGATTGTGGTTCAGTGCTTGTTTGTCTCACTACAAATTTGTCAAGAGACATTTGTTTTTCCTTTCGTTTTAACATTTGTCTGTAATGATGCATGACTTTAGCACCCATAATGTCCTTTTTCTTAGCCAGTATGGTGGATATCGTTGACTTAAATTTGTTGTACTGCCTAGCCAGTCCAACAACCCACACACCATCTTCATATTTACGAATGATCTCTTGTTTCTGCTCTATGGTCATCCTGACATGGGCTCTCATATGTTGAGCCTTACCACTGACTTTCCTGTGACTCATGGCGTGATATATAATAATTACGTTAATGTTCAAAATGCAAAAAATAACCACAAAAGCGAAATTTCTTATGGGCGTGATCGTCACTAAGCGGGCAGCTGTAGTGAACTGAGGCAGGTCGGCCGCGTGACCGGGAACCACGCGCTCCGTCGACCCGAACGTGTACCAACAAATATCGTAAGTCGACGACACCATCGGATGTCGAGTCGCATTTTTCGATGAAATTTACATCGCAACTCGAAATTATCGTAAGTAGGGGCAATCGTAAGTCGAGGTGCCACTGTACTACCTAATTAACTCCATGTAACCTACCTTACCCCTAAATGTCAACCCATGTCTTACTATTTTTAAACAATGTTGTTTGTTGACCAACTTGTTTATTTGCTATTTTGTACCATGTTTGTACCCCCCTTTTTTATCTTTTATTTTTACTCTCAATCGAATTTATACTTTAAGCTCAATTATTATTAAGTTTTAATCTAAGTTTTTTCTTCCACACCTTGCCTGAAACGCTATGCGTATTAGTGGCTTTAGGTATTTGTATGTACTAGCTCAACCTATGAATAATCAGAATGTTTGTAACTCTGCATCTAGGTATGTACTTTTCCTTAATAAAATATTACAGTATTATTATTATTATTATATCGTGGAGTCTGCTGATTTTATTTGATGATTCATATATATGTAGCTCTTTTTACACGATAGTATGATAGATAGAATTTACTAGTGTCGATTTCACCTTGCCCTTGAATAACAAGGCTTTGTTGAAGTTTTTGGTGTATTATTGCTCTCAGACTGCTTATAGGCACTCCAAGGATGGACTGGAAGCTTTTGTCGAAGGTCCTCCCATTTGTCCTCATGATTTTGTTGAGAGGATTTTTTTAATTCAGCAACGTTTTGGCATTTAAGGCTTCAGTAGGTAGGCAGTTTCATGGGTTTATAGCTCTACAGGTGACAAAGCATCTCCTGTTTTATATCCTGCATTGTGCCTTCTTGAGCTGAAACCATTACTACTTGTTCGTGTTACATCTGAACTTTTGAAGACATGGTCTCGTTCAATGTCCTCCAAATTAGTCAGTATTTTAAAAGTTTCAACGAGATTAGCCGTCATATCTGGTTTGCACTGCTGTTAGTCCTGTGGCCCTCAACCGTTCCTGGTTGGTATAAGAGTCAACTTAGTTCATGAATGATTTTTATCAGTTTGACATCGCTCTTCTTATAACTTCATGCTCTCGTATTGGTATCCAGATATCAAGAAATGTCTGAATGTTGTCTTAGATGATGCCACTTTATAGTCTCCTGGGCTTAGTGCCTCTTGGAATTACTTGCTTACTTAAAAATCGATTAAGTCTAAGGTGATCATAGGAGGATTGTACCTGTATTATGTTTTCCCATTACAATTGTAAAATATTGTAGATATAACAACTGTGGCTATTTGTATTACATTTTTTTTGAATTGATGAATATATATTCATCGTAAATCGAGTATGCCTGCAAGACCATGAATTTTCCCATATCATTATACTGTATACCGAAAAATAAAATGAAATTTTAAGTGAAATTTCTATAGCTGCCTCCCAATTATTCTTTTACGCCAAATATACTGTGTCTCAACAAAATCCTTGGTGAACTCACACCATCAACATATATAATCTTCCGACCCTGTGTTACCACATAGGCATCTTGAGTGATATATTATAATTAATTATATAGAGACTTTTCAGGGCACATTGGAGGAACCATTGACAAGCCGCCAGCTTCCTGTCCTCATAGAGGCCACTAAAGTGTTAGTCGTCCTCCAGTAAATTCAGGTTTGAGTGTGCACCTGGCAAATGCTATATGTATAACTATTCTGGCTTGGCACTTAATTATAATTACTTAGAATGACCAATTACTTGGTCATTCTGTACCAAAAAATATTGTCAAAAAAATGTTTTGATGCAAAGGAGCTTCCTGAATTTAAGTAAAGTATGCAACTTCAGTACAGTACATCTGAACTTTTCTCAGAGTGCACCACAACTACATCTCCTCAAATTATGCAACTATGTGAACTGCTGGAAAAATGGCTAACATACTCTCTATAATAAAGAAAGTTGTTTTTATGTTAAAAAAAAATTTATTGTACAAAATACATAAAGTAGAAAAAATCTTATCTATAATAATATATGAAGATTACAATCTATACACATCAGTAAAAATATGATCAATTTGGTAATCCCGCTTAATATTGCAATGGGTAGACAGACTGACAATTCCTGTGTACGAATTCACATTGAAACATATTACAAAATATTATTCATCTTAAAACTTTAGTCTACTGTTAACGACTGCAAGAATTTAAGTAAACTTTAGAAACTTTAAGAAAAAGAAGTCAGAAAAACATATATATCCATAGTGAACGTATATTTTGATGTTTTTTGTAGCTTGAAACTTTATTAACCAAAAATATGGAGACTTCTGTGTGCAGACAAGAAATCTGCACACTATATATACAAGATAATGCTACACTGTCACTGCTAATACCAACGTTAATTCAACAACCAAAACTTTAATACAATACTTGAAACCTGGGTTGAAATATTTTAAATATAATCTTTATATGTGACTGACTATATACAGTATATGGCACCTAACATACAGTAAGGCATTCAGAAGAAGGTCCAGACTACTGAATGAGATTGATATATATATATATAAATAAACATAAGTGAACTACAGTAGTCCACTTCTGGTTCATTGCAAATCTTGAAAAGGATATATTTGTCTCCAATAACCAAAATAACAGAAAATAAGTACAAGTGTAACTGGGCAGAACACTCCCACACCCATCAACCACAGGACATCCTGCTAAACAACAGTAATGCACATTGTCCCAGAGATCATCACTTTATACTGTTCATACGTCTGTGGTGGATCACTCCTCATACTGCTCTCCCTCACCCAACCTGTATCTTAAAATGTTAAGAATCACAGCATATCTGTGATTACATATTACTGCTCCAGAATAATGACACTAACAAAAAGCTATATCATATGCAAGAGTGTGGCGCCTATTTCATTGAGTGTGTGCTCATCTTGAAGATGATGATCGCCAGATGCTAAGATGTTCAGAGTCTTATCTTTGGATGTTAGAGCATTGAGCAACGTCTGAGAAAAGTGAAAGGGGAACACATCCTGAAATATATACAGAAATATAATTATTAAAAGTCTATATTTACTTGAATTACCCAAGGGGCCACCATCTCTCAAGTGGCCTCGACGAGGACAAGAAGCCATCGGGTTGTCAAAGGGCCCCCCTCCCCATCCCAATTTATCCTGATTAAAGAATAGAGTAAAGAAAATTATCTTAATGTGATAACCACTTAATCAACATCTGGAAGGTGTTTATATAACCTATAAGTCTAAATAAAATGTAACAACTGAGAATTACTTCATTTTAGGTAATAACTTACTTAAGCAGGGATGTGGCAAATACAAAACAGACTGACAAGTGTTTAATAATTTTTACAAAGAATACTAGTGTGATTTTTGTACTGAAATGATTCATCAGTTAATGCATGTGCAAATTAGATACTGTAGAGTAGGTAAATAGTTTGAATAGTGACATTAAACTGGTTATAAAATATTTTATGCATTTATATAAAATAAAATACTGTATGCATTTACAGGATATGTAAATTCTGCCCCAAACACCGATTGGAACACGAATAATGCTGGAAAAAATTAAGTTCTTCATACTTGAATTCTTCACTTCCACATAAATCTTCACACACTCAACATAAGAAATGCAATGTATCATTACTTTCAAGTAGAAGAAACTTTAGTCAGGGATGCATTAACCATCCCTCCTGGTGAGAGATACCTGAACTTGCATACTTTCTCCACCTCTTCAAATGTCTTAAAAAAAGAGAATACTTTCCATGATTTAAGAAGACTCCTGCTAGAGGTGTCCACTTGTACATTAACGAGGAATTCAGTCGCTTGTATTAGTATTATACTCGCTACAAGCTGTCATTAGGCTAATGAGAGCTTGGAGTGAGTGTAATGTTTACTCACTGCAGAACTGCCAGGGAATGAAAGAAAACAAAAAGTGGTCACCAAATATAAGCTAGCGATATGCGAATAGCCAACAATACAATTTCCAAAGTGATTCTATGTTTAGTTCTAATCGACCCCAAGATGCTACAGCTTCCACACAGAGCAGACTACGACCACATCAAGCTACAACGCTCTTGCTCCCCATCGAGTTTAAACATTCACGATTTCCCATCAAGCCACCATGCACGCTCTCCTACATAGTGCTCCGCGATTCCGGCCTCACTCAGCTCTCTGCTCTGCTCAAAGTGATAGTGTGAATCTGAACGTCTACGACAATGTCAACAACCAACTACTGTAATCAAGACTACTAAATAAATATGAAACTCACTAAACACTATATCTAATCTACCCAACAACGTAACATAATCGTACGTTACATTTGTGACCCCGGAGAGTTACGACAATACCCAGCTACCCAGCCCCGAAGGACTATAACATGGCCTCTCACTCGACCTCTACTGCTGCTGCCTGCTGTAGACCACTGCCACCTGCGGTCGAACGCTGCCTGCAACTTCACCACAGTTATGATTTTCACCCCAATTATCTGTACATGTCCATCTGCTATGGCTTGCTGCACCACGATCGTTACTTACTCTTTTTTTTTTTTTTTTTTTTTTTTTTTTGAGATATATACAAGAGTTGTTACATTCTTGTACAGCCACTAGTACGCGTAGCGTTTCGGGCAAGTCCTTAATCCTATGGTCCCTGGAATACGATCCCCTGCCGCGAAGAATCGTTAAAATCGTTACTCATCTGAAAGCCTCATCAGTAATACATCATGCTGGATTTACAGCCTGTCCTGCTGACTCTCCGTCACTGCCAGGGCACTGCTGGTCCTACAGGGACTCCCACGACAGCTGCTTTTTCGTCAGATTCATCTACACGTTTACTGCATTCTGATACTCTGCCGACTCAAGCACCTTGTACAGGACCTACAGCTCGGGTTTCCGACTTCGTTGCCTCCAGGACAATTCAGCTATAGCAGTGATTCCCTCGTTGTTCTATGTGCTTACATTACCTCCTATAGTCCTGGTGCCCGCGAGCATCCGTCCCGGATCTAAATGCTCCACCAGAGGCCCAAGGACGCAACAATCGTGCACATTCAAATCAAATCAAATATATATTCAGGTAAAGTACATACATACAAGGTGAGATACAAAACGTTGATGGATTTATAGATAGAGCTAGTACATTCAATGCCTAAAGTCACTATTACGCAAAGCGTTTCGGGCAGGAAAAACACTAAAGACAAACTTAATACTAATTGAGATTAAAGTATAAATTGTGTTGAGAAAATATAAAAATAGAAAAGGGGGGAACATGGCAGAAAAATGGCAAGTATACAATTTGGTCGACAAACAGCATTGTTTAAAAAAGCAGACAGCGGGTTGACATTAAGGGGTAAGGTAGGTTACAGGGAGTTAATTAGGTAGTGCTTAGTTTTTATCTTAAACTGGTTGGGAGAGGTACAGTCTTTAACATGGTTGGGAAGGTCATTCCACATTCTGGGTCCCTTGATTTGTAGAGCATTTCTAGTTTGATTAAGTCGCCAACGGCCATACCACGTTGAGAACACCGCTTCTCGTCCGATCAGCGAAGTTAAGTAACGTTGGGTTTGGTTAGTACCTGGATGGGTGACCACCTGGGAACACCAAATGCTGTTGGCAATAATGTTTTAATTTAGGGAGCAGGTCGGCCGAGTGGACAGCATGCTGGACTTGTGATCCTGTGGTCCTGGGTTCGATCCCAAGCTCCGGCGAGAAACAATGGGCAGAGTTTCTTTCACCCTATGCCCCTGTTACCTAGCAGTAAAATAGGTACCTAGGAGTTACCTAGGAGGAGGAGCAGTACCATGCCTGGGATTACCCATAGCCGGCCGAGTCTAGGGGCTCCTGGGATATCCCGTGGGGGCACTCGGGTACAATGGATGAGACCCCTGAGTCTCCTTTCATTTTTTGCGAGTTTGAGGGCTGCTCTGTCCCCTTGTCTCAGGATGATGCTCATTGTTTTTGCCTCCATCATGCTGCCTGTTGGGTCGGTGACACATTCAACCCGGAGTCCTGCGAGCTTTGTTGCTTGTTTGTGACTCAGTTTACCTAATCTGATGATATTATTCGGGTGCAGGCTAGGTTTAGGTTGTTGCAACGTGCTAGGTTGGTTGCTTCCACGGATGCCCCAAGGCTGTACCATTTTGTTTATAGGGATTCCGGACTTAAGAGTATTGGTTGCTTCGGCCTTGGCTCTGTCTATGCCCCCCCTTCCCCCCCCGTTCTTCCCTTGCTGTGGTTCATTCGGTTCCCCCCACTCCCCTACTTCCGGCTTCTAAGCGCCTGAGGGCTTCGGGGTCGGGGGCAGGCTTTAGAGGTTTCTGAGACTAGGGTGGTTTCGGGGCTTGCCCCTTCCGGGGTGGCTGCGGAAGCACTGAAGTCCGTTCCTTCAGCTGTAGCTCCAGGGTCTGACCAGTGGGCCCATCCTCTTCCTGCTATTCCCGCTGCTCCAGCTTTTTCTTGTGAGGCTGGGGTTTTGGAGGACGACTCACCCCCGGGGCCTGACGTGGAGGTTCCCGGGGTTAGAGAAGGGTTAGGAAGGGGAGTGACTTGGGGGCCTTGGGCCCCATTGGACCCCGCCTGGGTTTTCCAACCCCTTGGGTGGGGGCTTTCGGTTACTAGGAGTGGGGTTTCTTTTTCCCCCCTCTGCGTACGAGTTAGCTTGGGCGTCGGCCCCTCTCCGGATTTGCTTCCATATTCCTTCGGGTCCGTCGGCTCCGTCCTTCTGTGGGTACTTTTATCCACCTTCCCCACGCTGCTTCTCTAGGACCTGTGTTCTACATCATGCCGCAATCATGTTCTGTTGTATCAGGTCCTGCATGACCATTAGTCACACGGATGCCATTGGGTCCACATGCGCCTCCATGATTTTGTGCTTGATGGTCTAGGATCTCGCAGGTTCGGATAGATCTTTGATTCTTCAACATTATTGGAGCGTCGGTCGCCTTCCGGTGAGGCTTACCTCCAGTTCTTTCTAGGATTCATTGGTCCTCTTCTGGATTATTTATCATCTTTCCATGCTTTTTCTGATTGTTTGATAATCACCTCTTTCCGTACTTTGTCTACTAATAATAGTTACATAACCCTTGTTGGCACCCTCCCCGAAAGTCGAATGTTGCAGCCCAGACCTCATATGTCCAGCACATGCGCCATGGGTAATCGTTTTGTTTATGGTTGGTGTCCTCATGTTGGTGTGCCGCGACCTTTATCACAGGTGGTATGCCGCTCTCGCTTATCTCTTCTCCAGTCATAGCCCCCTCGATTCTGGGGGAGTTCTGGATTTTAATTATGGGGAACTCCCACTAGTTCTTTTCTCTGCATACGGGTGTGGGGTGGCTCGGAATGGCGCCGCCTCCACCTCTACACTACACCTATTCTTCTCCTGCACGCGCATCTCTGGACGTACTCAGCTGGAGATGCTCCAGGAATGTTACATGGCTAGGCTGTGTCGTGACATGATAGTGCCTACGCTCTGCAGGTGAGATTATATGATCTGGTGACACTGTCAGCCAGGCACGTACTAATTCTCATTTCTGGAATTAGTGTTGGCTATGGTTTGTACTGTGTTGCTTAGCCTCTTTGCGTGCATCTTAACATGACCTTAACCTGTACGTATATGTTGTTCTTCGTTACACTGTGTTATTGTGGGGTTCAGACCCTGAGCCCATTATGTGCCTCTGTAACCCTTTCCACTACCGCCCACAAGATGGGTATGGGGTGCATAATAAATGAACTAAACTAAACGTTACACTGTGAGGCGCAGCCCTGGATTTTGGTAACTTTTGGTTTTGTCTTTCAGCAACTGGATCTTTTCTGGACTCTGGACACTCATTACTTGACTGTTGTTCAGTGCCTGCCTGGACCCTTATATATATGTTAGGTATGCATATACATGTAAACACCTTCAATACACATCATCCTCCAATAGGTTGGAAGGGATGATACCTGTGATTAGGGAATAGACTTTGCTGCTAATGTGAGGTTGGCTTCTCTCATTAGCACATGTGTTTGGGAGAAGTCTATTGTTTA